TACCGATATGCATCGCTATCTGTACTCTTACTAGCGATGACTTGCTGGATGATGCCGTGGTTGGGTCTGTCACTCTGTTGATGTTCAGGGTTTTCTACTTTTCGCAGTGGAACCGACACGTAGATATAATAAGTATTCTAGGAATTCAACCCTACATCTTGATTGTCTATCCCACAGTAGTCTGAACACACCCAGCCATTTACTTAACATTGTGATAACTGATATTGGATGTTGTTTCACTTTGTTGGTTGTTGGCCTGTAAATATATTTTTTCGGGGAAATTGCAATTGGGGAACAAGAGGATGCTTACAGGAAATGCGAAGTCATGCACACTCTATTTAGCAAGCACATCTCACCTTTCTGGCATATGCCAATCATTAATCTTGTCCATTATGGTTTCCTCGGGTCTTTGGTTGACACACTTATTGCCTTTAAAGTGTTATCATTATATGTTGGTTGTTCTAATGGTTCATTAGTTACATCAAAATATAAGAAATATAAAGTTCTCCTGATCCACCTTGAGTGGAAAGGTATTTAACTCAGTCCTGTCAATTGCTGCTTTCACTCTGTTCGTAGCATATTCCTACCATTATGCTTGTTGCTAATTCATGTTTTTTAACTTGTTATATGTTCAAGGAGAATATGATAGACCATGCCAAAATATAATTCGGTCATAATGTGAATGACCCTCTTGTTATTGTTCCCAACAAGCATACATGACACAACTGTATATACCAAACTTCTAAACTACACTGACTGGAAACCAAAATTCAGTCAGTAGTGGTTCTACAGAACATGTATAGTTAAGTGCCCCAGTTGGACCATTAGCTGTTTTTACTATGCATCATGGACCACTTTTGTTGCTTGAGTTAAAAAAAACAATTTTGTGCCTAAACAAATAATGGCATGCACAGTTTTTGGCCCTCTCCTTTATTGCTAGTAATTCTGAATTTCCAAGTGATCATTCTCCACAGATGACAAGGAGAAGCCAACCCATCTGAGGTTTCTGGTATCAAACACGGCAGCAGGATGCATTATTGGCAAGGGTGGATCAACCATTAATGAATTTCAGTCCCAGTCTGGGGCTCGTATTCAGCTATCGCGTAGCCATGAGTTCTTCCCTGGTACAAATGACAGAATTATCATGGTTTCTGGTCTGTTTGATGAAGTAATAAAGGCCATGGAGCTGATTCTCGAGAAGCTTTTAGCTGAGGTAAACTATTTTATTCCGCAAATAGTTGTATCATAGGGCCATGTTACTTTATTTGATGATTGGTATTCTATGGTTACTTTCCCAGGGGGAAGAAAGCAATGAAGCTGAAGCTAGACCTAAAGTTAGACTTGTAGTTCCTAACAGTTCTTGTGGTGGAATCATTGGTAAAGGAGGGTCAACAATCAAGTATGTACCATTGATAAATTTGTTTCTGGTTTCTGAAATCTTATTTTTATTCTTATTCCCATTGCGCTTCTTCATTTTCTTAGTTGGTTATAATGTATGTATACCATGAAGCGTGTCTGAACCGAATGAGGAAATGCATGGTTATTTTCCTAATGCACTCATCTTTGACTTAACTGCACCCAAGTTATTGCATGCTCTCTTGTCAATTGTACGCAAGCAGTATTTGTTGTTTCATTTGTATTGTTTTGTGTTGGTTTATGTTTCTTTGAATGTGAGTTGACATGCTTGTTTTCTCATCAGGTCATTCATTGAAGACTCACATGCTGGAATCAAGATTTCACCACAGGATAACAATTTTGTTGGTTTGCATGATAGACTCGTTACTGTCACAGGACCCTTGGACCATCAGATGCGTGCAATATATTTGATATTAAGCAAGTTATCGGAGGACGTTCACTACCCACCTAATCTGAGTTCCCCATTTCCATATGCAGGTAAACAAATTTCAATATTTGATTTGGTGTCAAACGGCTACTTTTCTTATTATGGGGTGCCTTAATTCTCGGACTGCATTTCTTTTCTGGAATTCATATACTGCATTGTATAGGTCACAAATGAACATGCTTGGTCACTCGTACCATTTGGCAGCCATGAGCTTTCTGCATGAATTTTTATTCAGCTACTGCACGATTGTTCTCTTTCCGTTTCAGTGATCATGTTGAATGCGTTCACATGCTATGTCCATTCAGTTACTGCATGATCATTTTATCTGAATTCCTCTTCTTTTGTTTTCAGGCCTTGGTTTCCCTAGTTACCCTGGTGTTCCTGTTGGGTATATGATCCCACAGGTGCCGTATAATAATGCTGTGAACTATGGACCTAATGGGTATGGAGGAAGGTACCAAAACAACAAGGTTAGTGATTGCTGCTGCTTTACTCTTGTCTTGTATATCACTAAAGCAAACCTTTTGAATTCAATATCAGCATTTTTATGCACATGTTGGTATGAGCTAACATGTGTTCAATTTTGTTATGCACTAGATTAAGGTTATGTTCAAGGTGATTTGCATTAGATGTTCTATAATAGAAATACTATTTTCTGGTTGTGGTTTTGTACTTTTGTCATACATCACTATAGGCATCTAGAATTTCTGCTTCAAACCAACCTTAACAATAGTAAGACTCATTGGATGAGATGTCTGAATTACTAATTGTGGTTTATTTGAGTGACATATTCCATCCATTTGTTCATCCATAGTATGCTTTAGTACATGTTAGTGCAAAGCATAAGACAGCTTTTAACGAATTGAAGTATTATTACCTATGTCATGCATGATGTTTTTCACCGTAAGTAACATCAGTGCTGTAAATTCTAATTCAGAACTGTAAGTAACGTCATTGTACTGCTTTCTACTGAATTCCACAAACATTACCATTCACTATTTTTCCTTTTTTTCCCTTTGAGTGAAATTTGATATATGCGTTCAGAGCTTCAAATTAATCCAACAATTGTCTGCTGTTGAAAATTTTGCAGCCCAGTACACCTATGAGATCACCTGCTAACAATGATGCCCAAGATTCTCTCACTATTGGTATTGCTGATGAACATATTGGTGCTGTCGTAGGACGTGCCGGAAGGAACATTACAGAGATCATTCAGGTGGTTTCTTGCGCTATGAATTCCACAGTTATTACTTTTTTCGGTGCATTTTTCAATTGCTTAATACCTTGTACCTATGACTGTACCTTCTCTTTTTTTGGGTACAAAAGGCATAATGTTTTTTTTTGTAGTATCTTAGGCGACCATATTAGCCATCTTCTTGAGTTGTATCACCCTATGTCCCACATGTCAGTTGTTTTTCTGCCTCAGAAATGTCATAACCTTTCTTCATGCTTCAAAGATTTTGTAATTGTCCCAACTGATGGTTGTCTTCCAGTGTGATCATGTTGGCGTGTTTTTACTGAAATAGCTTGCAATTTGTCGAGTGCAGGCTAGTGGTGCCAGGATCAAGATATCTGATAGGGGTGACTTCATTGCTGGCACATCTGAGAGGTATTTCCTTGGTTACTTTTCACCATCAGAACAAGCTCTTAAAGCATATTGAGCACCACCGACCTTCATATGATATGCTTGTACAGCAGGCCTGAATCCCCAAATTTTACTGACTGGTGCAGGAAAGTGACGATAACTGGAACATCAGAAGCTATTCAGGCAGCAGAGTCTATGATAATGCAGAGGGTGACAGCCAGTTCCGAGAGGTGATAAAATCTCATGAAGACGAGGGGCATCATCTGATGGAAAAGAAGCCTGATGCCAAGTTAGGAGGAGGGGTTGGAGATTGTCTTTTCTAGTTTTAGCACTATCCGCAAAAAAAGCTTGAGAGAAAATTTAAGATAATCTATTGTTCCTTATTGAGTCTGATTGTGTTAGTAACTGGAGTAGTCAGTCAATCAGCTGTTCTATTTATTTCTTATTTTTGTTGGGAATAGGATTATATTTCACAACATGTTTGGCTGTTGTCATAACTCAACAACGCTGGTGTGCTACCCTAGTTTTGATAATTGTGATCCTTAGGTTACCCTTGACCCCTTGTCTTTGCCTGTTTGTTTGTCTCCTCAAAAGTCGAAATGACTCGTTTTGCTGAAAGACAAAGTTGCTTCCTAGTGAGAGGCTGCATCTTCTGTCCAATTTGTTGCATTTCCATGATGTTGCCTCCAAAATCTTGCAAGTCCAAAGCCAGGAAAAAAAAGCGAGGCTGCCTACTCTTGTGGGGCGTGGAAAGTCACAAGCATCTACCTTTGCCTGCGTGGATGCAACCAATGCCAAGTAAAAAAAAGCAAAGGCTGGGCTTTTCTTTTTCTTTTTAAATGTTACAGCGAGTTTTAGCTCCCATTTGGAATTCCTATGAATATATCCTATTTGAAAGCATTTGAAATTCTTTCAAATTTGGTGGGCGAGCAAACTAGTACGAGCAGAAAAAAAGTCGAAATTTTCTCAAGATATATGTCGTGAATGAAATAATAATACTGGAGTATCATGGAGGATTAAATCTGTTTTACCAAACGACGTTTTCCCTCAAAAGTTTGACTAGTATACAACATAAATACATTCTGTGGCATCCACTGTATTGTACTATCTTCAGCTCACTACGTTTGGAGAATTTACGGAGTAGAATCAAATCTTAGAAATTGCATAATACTCCCTCCGTTTCAAAATGTTTGACACCGTTGATTTTTTAAACACATGTTTAATCGTTTGTCTTATTAAAAAAAATTATGAAATATGTAAAACTATATGTGTACATAAAAGTATATTTAATAATGAATCAAATGATATGAAAAGAATAAATAATCACTTAAATTTTTTAATAAGACAAATGGTCAAATACGTACTAAAAAAATCAACGGTGCCAAACATTTTGAAACGGAGGGAGTACATCTCAAAAATCTCTGAATAAAATTTATCCGTAGTAGTATATCCTTCCATATATAAACGTAAATTATTAAATAAAAAGGTATATTCGTAAAAAGTTTTCGGACAGACGAGAGGGCAGGAGTCTTCTACAAGACGGCTACCGAGGAGTATGATATTTCCTCTATTATTATTTTCTTTCTCATCACGCGGCTGCGTCCGTATCGCGACTTTTATCCTCTCCTCCCCAACTAACTCGGCGTTCGCCATCTCGTGTCGACTTCCTCCTCAAAACCCTAATTCCATCCACCGCTCGATCCAATCTACCCTCTCTCTCGATTCTCAATTCTCAATTCTCCCTGCAAAATTCCCAATCCTCCGTGCAGAATTAGAATTATGCGGGATTGATCCCCTCCCACGGGATCTCCAATATCATATCCATCCAGAAATTGAAATTCCCCTCGCCGCCGATGAGCCAATCGCCGCCGGACTCCTCCTCCGCGGCGGCGGTGCCCCTGGCGCCGGGGTTTCGCTTCCACCCCACCGACGAGGAGCTCGTCTCCTACTACCTCCGCCGCCGCATCCTCGGCCGCCGCCTCCGGATCGACGCCATCGCCGAGGTCGACCTCTACCGCCTCGAGCCGTGGGACCTCCCCTCCCTCTCCCGCATCCGGAGCCGCGACGCGCAGTGGTACTTCTTCGCCCGCCTCGACCGCAAGGTCACCGGCGCCGGGGCCGGCGGCCGCGGCGGCCCCGGGAACAGGACCAACCGCGCCACGCCGCGCGGCTACTGGAAGACCACCGGGAAGGACCGCGATGTCCACCACCGCGGCAAGCTCGTCGGGATGAAGAAGACGCTCGTCTTCCACTCCGGTAGGGCGCCCAAGGGCCAGAGGACCAACTGGGTCATGCACGAGTACCGCCTCCTCGACGCCGACGGCACCCAGGTACCTGTGAAATCATTTGATCCATCTCAAATTTCGCAGGATCTACCGTACCACGAGATCACGAGATTAGCGGTAGCACCAAAAAAATTCTGTTCTTTTAGCTTGTCTCCTGCTAGGCTTGTGTGAGCGGTAGGTGGGAACTGGTCCTATTCTACTTTCAACACTCGTTACTTGCTGCTGCTTAGATATGTTATCTAGTGCGACCCTGTCCCGGGCCTAGAATGGTTACAACATTCTCATGTTTGTTCACTTGATACCTATATATGGTAGGTAAAAACCTTTCCTTACAACATCAATGACTTGCTTTGAGAAAAACCAATATGAGCATGAGCTTATCTTTTGTCAATAAAAGAAGAAAAAAGTGCGAGATGCACTGGTAGAAGTGATAGAGCACGTCTGGAAATGTATGAAGCAAGGGGGCTTTTAACTGGGCTATTTAAGCATTGGAAATCTTATCCTCACTCTGAATTGAGGAGTCTGAATTGCGGAGGACCAATGGTTTTTAACCTGTATAGAATATTGATGTAGCATCCTTTTCTGATAGCTGATGTTAGTTTCCTGTTGAGTGCGCAGGATCTGCATGTGGTGTGTAGAATCTTCCAGAAAAATGGATCTGGGCCACAAAATGGTGCACAGTACGGTGCGCCATACTTGGAGGAAGATTGGGAAGAGGAGGATGATGCAATTGAGAACATGCCTGCCAGTGGCGCTTTCGCTGAAATGGCTGCAGTCACAGATACTGCAGATGAGTCGACTGAGGAAGATGGGAATTTCTCCCTTAAAACTAATGATGAGCCTTTACAAGTAAGTACTCCCTCCATCCCATAATATAAGGGATTTTGAGTTTTTGCTTGCAACGTTTGACCACTCATCTTATTCAAAATTTTTTGAAATTATTAATTATTTTATTTGTGACTTACTTTATTATCTACAGTACTTTAAGCACAACTTTTCGTTTTTTATATTTGCAAAAAAATTTGAATAAGACGAGTGGTCAAACGTTGCAAGCAAAAACTGAAAATCCCTTATATTGTGGGACGGAGGGAGTAGTGCCCATTTTCTTTTGTATTTTCCAAGATGTTAGTTATTAAAAACTGAAATTGTACTGTCAATACTCAACACCTATAATGAAAACTAGAGGATGCCAGGAATCCATGGAATTACCTTTAACTGAAAACATTCTATGTGACTATATCAATGAATACAGGATAATGATAGCTGAAACAACTAAGTAGACTATGCATTTGCCATCATGGTTGAAGAGTTCTTTTCTTTAATTAAGGTTTTGCATGTTTCTATTCCCTGTTACTGTTCTGACAAAATTTTAAAATAGAATAATTCTTGCTGGATTTTATCTCTTCATATTTTTTTCCTCGATAATATATTTATTGCTCCTCCTATCAAGTGCTCTGTGATGTGTAACACACCTTCATGTACTTCAATTACCACTACAGACCCAAGAATACCAGCCAGAGATAACTCCTGTGAAAGCTCAAGGTTCAAATGAGGAGACCAATGGCGGTGGTTACAGTTGTGATGTTTTTTCTCTGGATGAGATTTTGCAGGAACCTGAAAATGTCTGCAAAAATGAAGAGCAGAATGCCATTGATGACAAGTTCACTATCGCAGAGTTATCTGGATACCCAAGGCAAGATGATGGCTATGTAGGCGAGAATGGTCCTGTGAATTGGATTGACCCTTCAAATGGTGATAATACAAACTGGCCTTTGAGAGCATATAGTACTCAGAACCATGTCAATGGAACACTTAGCGCTGATGGTTTCTTTGACACGGTGAATGGTACCAACTCATATTCAGGTCCTTCAGATAACCAGAACCTGTATTTGCAAGATGATGGCTTGACTTCTTCTCATCAAGTGGGCGATAACATGCCATTTTATGACGCATCATCTAATCACAAATGGGTAGATGGAAAGGATGATTATTTGAATTTGAATGACCTCCTCTACCCGCCAGCAGAAAATCAACCCCTGTTTGATGCTGGGGATGACCTGATGGCTTACTTCGATGCCACGGAGGATGATTTCAAATTTGATATTATGGGCACAGAAGATTCTAATTCTCAACTTCCAGACATGTCGAACTTTGTCCAAAAGGTATGCTTCGGTGCACGCATGTCACATAACTATGCTACAGTTCTCTTACATCTAGTTAGAAGGACACTTCCTGATCACTATCCTTCTTTGACTTCTTTCTGGTTATCAACTGTTGTATTATTTTCTCTGCAGGATGATAACAACAATAAGTTTACATTAGATGGGATCTCTAATACCGCTTTGTATGGTGCTTCTTCATCTGGATCCCATGGCAATATGTATCCAGACACTGCAGTACCAGGTATGGCTTTATCACTATATGCTTATTAGTAACTATTTTCATCTACTAAAGTTTGCCCATTGCTTTGGGGGTACATACAAGCATCTTTTATGAAATGTGACCATACTTGCATCTAAGTCTCTCTTCTTTAAAAATCTCATGGAACTACTTTGGTCCAGATATGCCGATGGATGACACTGTTGACAAAAGTTTCGGAAAGCGCCTTGCCAGCATGCTGGGTTCAATTCCAGCTCCACCCGCAATGGCTTCAGAGTTCCCGCCGAGCACAGGAAAATCTGTTGTCCCACTTAGTGCTGTCAACCCGAGTAGCTCTATCCGTGTCACTGCAGGCATTATCCAACTCGGTGGTATCACTTTTACTGGTAGCACCGAGCACCTGCAGAAGAATGGAGATTTCAATTTGCTCCTCTCTTTCACTGTCGAGGGCGACGTCTCAACCAAATCCATTGGTTTTGAACCGGATACGCAGATGAGCACCACGCCAATGGTGTTGCGCAGCGGCATGTATCTTTTCTTCGTATCGGCGATGATTCTCATGTTGAGCTACAAAGTTGGGCTGTGTATCTACAGCAGGTAAGTTATAGTAGTTTTTGTTGCCCCAGGCTGTTTATTAAATTGAAGGAGTCATACAGAGTCCACTCGACGTAGAGGGAACTGCCTGCGATTTGGACAGTTTGGTTCTTTACATTGTTATAGTTGGTATACCGTTCTGACAGTTGAAAGATACATAGCAATAAACTCTGGAATTGGAGAAACTAGAGTTACACGAATTTGGTGCTGAAACTTTTGTTGGTGGCATGTACTGTATAATTTACTCTATTTATTTATTTCACCCAATTCTGGGAGGCTGTAAGCGTTCCCCGATCGATGTAAGCTGATCTGAAACCTGAATACGCGCTCTTCATTTTTCATACCCAAAGGGCCGAGAGGCACAGTTTGCAGTTACTGTTGATCAATTTTCGGATGGAAGGAATTTTGCGTTGGTGTGATTATGTGCTTGTTTGTGGTGTTGTCAGAAATAAACCATGACCTTGTGCGTGCTTCATAGTTCAACGTGTTGCGCTTTGGAGATTGGCAATTGCATATGGGAACAGACGCACTGCATGACGTACATATATGTAAGAAACGCATAGCATGATGTACACATTGGCTATATTACGTGCCAATGTTCGTTTATCTTCATCGAAAAAAAAATATTATCACAAAAACGTGAAAAATCTTTCATACAACATTAAGACCAAGGTGGCAATTCACTGTAATCCTATACAACTAACAGTATACTCTGGAATGGAAAATATATTTCTGGCACATATGAGTGCACTGCGCTTTTGCTTCTGATTTGTTGTGTTGTGCCCAAACAAGAGAGGCTCACAAGCACATGGCACCGACGGTAGTACATTGCCCTAGACATGTGCGGTTGTGCCTTCCTTCCATCAAGAGAAAGACGTCAAATTCTCTCCCATCTCCAGTTCTCCATGACCGCCTTTCGCACATTTCAGTTTCAGCACCTTCAGAACTAAAGAATAAATTCGCGTGCTTTCCCTGCCATCCCGCAGTGCCATATCGTTTCAAGGAGGATGCTGCTCGGCAAAAAATTAGTACCTGCTGCTGAGGCACTATGAATGAAGTTCATGTCATAACACAAGGCAGGAGAATCAATCCGCGGACGAAATAATCGCAATGGCTGCTGGCTGGGGCACTATGAATTTTCTGGAAAGACGGTCTGGATGAACTTGAGGAAACGCTCCGAGTAGAACTGGGGGTCCACGGCGGAGATGGAGATGGAGTCGTACTGCATGGACTTGACGGCATGCTCTATCTTCTTTGACATGTTGTACTCCTGCAATATGTCTATGATACCCAGGTAAAGGACCACGTCGTACACCTCCCGAAACGATTTGCTTTCCTCTTCTTTAGGGTTCTGCTCTGCCCTTGCAGGCATGTTAACCCCTAGCTGGATCTGCAGCCTGTCAAGTGTCAACACAAAAAAAGAGTAAGACACCTGATTGGTAACCCTCCTACTTTGGGATGAAGTGCAACATGAGGAAACTTTTCCTTGTAATGGAATGCTTGGGGTGCAAGCAACTCAGAGCCATGGCTGTAAAGAGGGTTTCTTACAAGGAAAGAAGATATTCACCTGGCTGTACCAGGAAGTAGTAGATCTACTTCCGCAAATCCAGCGGCTGTTGATCGTAAACGGCTACCTCTTATGTGAGGGCCAACAACCACACTGTTTTCATCACCACCTCTTTGAACCAACACTAGACCTTCCGGGTAGTTGAAAGCATCGTCCTCCTGAGCGTCTGCAATTGTCGATTATAAACATCAGCTCCTCAACTGTATTAACAAAATATATTATGTACCAGCTGGAAAAAGTGTCCACTTACCTTCTTCTGAAAGAACAGTTAATCTATCTGCTGCCATGCTTCGATGATAAGATGCACGCGTCCGAAGGTGCTGGGGAGCTCTATAGTGCACACCAAGCAATAAGCTGTAATCCATTATCCGTTGGGTCCTTAGAAATTCACTGTCAGTTTCAATCTGCCTGAAGAGAATAATAATAATTGTCAACCACTGTTGAAAGGTTGCGTGATTGCTCTTTGTGAAGGAAAACATATGCAAGAAAATGGAACCACAGCAGCAACACTGTACATGTGCGAAAATTGGTACTTTTTTTGGTGGACACCAGATCAGTGCCAAAACCAGATAATTTTATGGCAACACATTGCAGAACTTGGCATGTACTTGACATTGTTTTAAATGGAAATGGGTCATTACATCCATGAATCCTCTATCATACATGTGCTATCTATTTAGTGACATCCTTCAACTAGTTAAATTTTGTATTTAGAGGATATACAAGTTGAACAACAATTTAGAACAAAAAGATATGTTGATTTGGCAGCAAGTATAATGCAGTTACACAACAAACCATATCTTAGAATGATAATTGCATGAGAAAATATGCTCACTTAAGTAAAGCCTCACGCCAGGAAGGTTCAAGATAAAATGAATAGTTAAGATCCAAATCCTTCAGAGTTGTGTTCTCATCAATTTCGATTTTGTCAGTAGAACGGCCTAAGGATGAACCTTTCAAATCAAATCTCCGATGAATCCTCAATTCCGTGCAAAACATGTTACCCATTACAACAAAGCGAAACTGCAATTTGCAAGTGTTAAGGATTGTCACTGCGCAAGAAATGGGATTGGAGCTAAAGAAGTGTAGATAAATCCGTTACCTTTTGACCACTAGAAGGCTTCACCCTGTGGAGGCCAAAAAACTTAGTTATGAGGGTGTTCTCATAAGTACGGACATGATGGTAATATTTTGGAAGCATTCGTAAAAGAACCTGCAAGGATCATATAGAGTCATGAAATGTTTTTAACTTCCGCTTGCTAAGTAGGTGGTGTTACTTATAATGTATAATTTATCGAAGAATCTACCATTAAAGAATTTTCTAGCACGCTTATATGATCTCTGAAAATTTAAGCATAAAACAGAACCTGGACTTCAGATTTCCGAAGAGTCTTGATCATGAATCGATCATCTTGTGATAGGAAAAAGACACTTCCACTCTTTCCTGGAGAAGATAACTCCCTAAGTGCAGAATTTCCACATATAGAGATCATATAATCTGCAGCATCAATCTTGAACATCTCCCTCAAATTTCTACAAAAAATAAAATAAGAACAATGGCCATTTTAGGTGTGTGACAGAAAGAAGAGAACTATAAGCTAGAAATAAGAATAAAAAGAAAAGAAAAAAGGTACATAGCTACGTTCAGATTAAGTGATGATAACTACGTTAGGTGAGTATGCCAATTCTAAAGATCATGTAAATCTGCAGAATAAGTGTATGGGCATATCTTAGAGATGTACATTGGGATGAAAGCTAAATAAGTGCAATGAACCTGAAAACCATGGGACAATAGTCCTTCCATTTGAAGTCTTCTGCAGGATGTGAAGGAGTAAGTCGTGATCCTTCTTTGGGGAAGGTCATCCAGAAACTTGCTCGTGGACCAAAATCTGAAGCACGGACTTCACGTTTCTGAATGGGCGTAATCTTTCCTACCGTGTACCTAAACACAATAATGCATTGATCATTATAGGATATAATTATTACTGATGTATCACCATCATATTGTCCTACTAACTAGGAAAACTCTCATTTTAACTTAATAGATGATGCAATATTTTGCACGAAAGTTCTTAAGAGCAATAAAAAGTGCTGCTAGAAATACTCCCTGCTTAGGCCAGGTGCTGTATCTTAGAATCCAAAAAAACTACTACCAGCTAGCAAATAAAAAACCTTGCATTCTAACTTTTCAAAAGGTAAATGTTACCGTGGACACTATTACGCAGCACAAGCATTAGACAACTAGAGGGACCTGAAATAGTTCTGTTATAGTTTTAGGATATGTTGTCAAGAGAACTAGAGAAGACTATCTATAAATGAAAACGATCAACAGAAGAGAGTAGGTCAGGACAGTATTAGTGGGACCAAAGAAATTAACGAACAGATGTCATTCAAATCTTGCAACTACGATGCCGAACTCAGAGGGATTACCTGATTCCAAGCTGTAGACTGAGCATAAGATCATAGCTTCTGTGACCCTTAATTATTGTCTCTCCTGGCTTTTTTGTCTCCCTAACAATTTTCTTCTGGCGCCGTTTTGCCTTCTTGGACGAATCCGAAAAACTCCTGTCAAGTACTACCTCGCTGATTAGAACACCTTGCATATATTCCCGTTCCAGCATAGGCAGATCAGAATCATTAATGCTTTCAGATCTTTCTAGGCCAGAGCTTCCAGTTGCGTCATGGCCAATGAATTTTTCAATGGCCACCTCAAGGCTCCACCGTCTTTCCAAGGATACATTTTTCGAATGAGGTTGCTCACTTGAGTTCCTTCTAGATGAAGGACCTGAAGATTCCCGAGTTAAGCCAACCTTCATGTTCCCCATGTCAACCGAAGAAGAGTGAAGGATGCGTGAGCCGTGATTCTGCCTTCTAATGTCAGGCAGCACACCTCGGTTTCTTAGATTATTGATGTAGAGCTCATCATTAACAGGAACTCTGCAACCTTTTGGATAGAATGTGCCTTTCCCATCCTTCAGTCCCTTGGTCCAAGTACCAACATAATACCCACACTCATTCCATGTATAGATTCCATACCCGTGCATCATGCCATCTAACCAGTTTCCTTCATATGAATCCCCATTTTTCCAAGTAAGAGTTCCCTTCCCAGACATCTTGCCATTCTTCATATTGCCAACGTAAGTGTTTCCATTTGCCCACGTATACTTGCCATGGCCTTCTATTTCTCCCTGAATCCAAGAACCGTCAAACATGTCTCCATTAGGGTACGTCTGGCATCCAAGTCCATGCTTACGATTCAATTTCCACCTTCCCTTGTAGACGATGTTGTCAGACCCGGTATATGTGCCTTCACCATAAATGTAGCCACCAGAGTACTCACCCTCGTAGGTGGCTCCAGATGGCCACATTGTCTTTCCTTGCCCATGCCTCATCCCTCTCCTCCACTCACCATCGTAAGTGCAACCATCTGACCAGACATACCTCCCTGAACCCTCTGGTGTGTTCCCCAATAATGTGCCGAAATAAATATCCCTGTTGGAGAGCCTGATCTCTCCAACTCTGAAGCCAGGGTTTGTTCCAGAAGCATGAGAATCTTGGCCATTTGCTAAACTGGACAGTACCTCCTTTTCGATATTGCAACTAGCGTCTCGGAACAGCTCTACTCTTTGAGAACGGGAGATCCCTTCTAACTCATTTGGAAGGACTGCAGGGGCTGTCATGCATAAACCCACTAGGAGGACTAACCCACAGTCGCGAGGAAGATACTCCTAAGCACGGCCTGTAAAGAAAAGTTCACGAGACACATCAGTAATGTAACCTGTGGAAACGTATCCAAGTGAGGATAAACTGCGTTACAACTTATCCTATTGCAATATTCATAGAAAGAAACCCTTCACAAAGAAATTGATTGTGCAGCTTTAACTAGAAAATGAGAGACAGTCAAGATCAGGTGTACAAAAAAATTAGATGAAATTTATATTCCTTGAAACTACAAACCTAACTAATCGGAGATGAAAATCGTTGTAGTACACGTCCTGTAATCGTATCATGACTATTATTGTCCAGATCATTCTGTTGATCGTCACATCGTTTTGTGAAGGCAAAACAGTAAGGACAATGGTAATCAACAGCAGCACTAACTAGTAGTAGCAGATGGTAAGACCCCACCCACGGTCGTTTCCTCAATTGTTTGCTGTAGGAATGTAATCAATCGGGCATGAAAACTTTAGCAACAAATTTGGGGGCCCCAAATGACGTGAGCGGCAGTTGGGCTCATACGCACAGCAAATGGAGGAGTCATCCAATATCCATCACAGTGGCATTCGGAGCTTGCAGTGAGTTGATAACCAGGAAAAAAGTAGTAGGCAGCAGGACAGGAGGTGTGTGATCCAATCGTGCGTAGTCAGTAAAAACTGAAGGTTAGTCCCCTCGAGACAAATCCTTGGGAGTGGAGAGATATTGTATCTAGTAAATCAAAACAGAAGAGGGTATTGTTCGAAATTCAGAAGGGAATTACGGCTCGGAATGAATCTAATCCTAACCCAGCCTAAATCTAAACATATACACGCAGCAAACGATCGTCCACACAAAAAATATATAGTAGAGGAACAAAAACGAGGAAAAAAAAACGCGTCAACGTGCAACTGATTTAGGAGTAGGGGAAAAACGATGGAAACGTGTAGAGTAGAGTGAGGGGGATCCATAAGAAGCGGGGGTTGGATTCACTCGCTTTGGGTGATGGGTATCATCATCCGATCAAATCAACCAATGGATGAATCATGAGAAGGCAAATTCGATAGAGCACAACACAGACAGAAGTCAGTGAGGGATTCAATTCAAACTGCAGCAGGAGGAGGAGGCGTGGTTGGTGGTACGTACCCAGGGGGAGAGGAGGAGGCGATTGCGAGACGAACTCGACGACGGCGACGACGAGGCGGAGCAGCAGCAGCGAATCGAATGGCGATCTGGAGGGAATCCCTCCGGTGGATGCGGTTGTGATTTGGTTGGTTGGTTGGAGCGGAAGCCTCGCCGTCGCCGTCGCCGTCGTCCTCCTCCGGCCGGCGTGCGTCGCCGACGAGAGGCCCCTCTCCGCTGCTGCTTCGTCTCGTGTGGTGGTGTATGCGGCGCTAGATCTTTTACTACTACTAGTACTAGTAGTGGCCTGCCTGCCCCCTGCCCGCGACGCCGCTCGATCACTTGACTTATTAACAACAACAAAACCAATCAACTTATACTAACAAACTTGAGTAGTATTAGTACTAGTACGGAGTATATTACCTTTTCTTTTTTATCTTTCCTTTTTGCGATTCCTATAGTATTCTTCTTTTCCGTTGATGACGATGGTCGATACGAACTAATTTCTCTCTCTCTCTCTCTGCCTTTTTTTTTTCAAAATGCCCTTCTTTTCTCTTAATAACAAGTTTAATATTATACCTAACTAGACTTTAAATCATCTATATTCAATTTAATAGCCGGTTCATACAATATAAACATATACTACATAATTTATAACTGGTTCAACCTGTCATACATACATGTATCTTAGAGTCCGTATTGCAACTAGCTACAAATCTATGGCACGTTGTTTTTCTCTCTCCTATTTTATCTTCTCGAAATATATTTATATCTAGCTTATAATCTGCTATTGTACTTGCTACGGAAAACAAAGTGCGCGATTATAGTGAGATTAATTAAGTATTAGCTAAAAACTTAAAAAATGGATTAATATAATTTTTTAAAGTAACTTTCATATATAAAACTTTTATAAAAAAATATACCGTTTAGCGGTTTGAAAAACGTGCCGCGAAAAATGAAGGAAGTGAGTTGAGAAAGAGGGGAAAAGAACATAGCTTGATGGTTTTCACTGTCTCTAGTCCCGATCTACCGTCTCCGTCTAAAATATAAGAATCGAGTACTATATGTAATATATATTTTAAATATGTTCAGATAGTAAATATATTTTACTAGAAAATATCCGTAGTATACTTGTGGCGGTTAATCAACGTATCTGTCTGCACAAGTTAATTACATCCTTCCTTTTAATTCTCTCCATTTTAATTGACAGGCACTGCCATCGCTTCAGTTGAGGTCAACGTACTCGGCACAAATCACAGGTCAAACCTTTAATTAATTACCCTCTCTTACGTGCACCAATCATGTCCTCCGCATCATTATCGATCTATTAGCACGCAACACACCACAGTACTCGTAGTAGTAGTGCTTCATCATTAGGTTAATTTATTTACTCCTGCATCGTTAGATTAGATCTCGGGTGAAGTACGTTATTAAGTAGTACTAATTACTTATCTGCGGATCGATTAGATTACAGCTATCTAGTGCTGGTCCAGTGATCCAGTCTCGATTGCGAGCAACATGAACGCTTTAATTCCACAATCCACACTTACATCCATCTTGCATGTAAATATACAACCGCAACTTGCACAACAGAAGCAATAACCTTAAGATCTACTGTACGTACTATACCTCTGTTTTCAAATATACTTCAAACGTGTGTTTACATTTACAACTTTACAACTGATTATTCTTTTATATGGTAGAGAGTGTGCGCGTGTTTTATACGAGCATCTGCGTTTATAATTTGTTTTAAAAAATTAACAACATCATATACTACTTTACTTTTTTTAAGTATATGATGTTATTGACATTTTAATAAATATTTGATCATTCATATTATTTAATTTTTTATACATAAATAAATTTTAAGTCACACTAAAAGAATATTTGATGATGAATTAAATCATGATAATTAAATGATAATTATATATTTTTTAATAAGATAAATGCTCAAATATATCTTGAAAAAATCAACAGCGTTATATATTAAAAAATTAAAAAAAACAGATAGAGTATTTATTTAGGGGGTAACATAGAGGGGATATTTACATTCGTTTGAGCAAGTGACAGTAAAGAAACAAAAAGAAGGAACAAACCAACAAGGTCATTTTCGATAGGCTACGCAGGCCGGCCGGCCGGCCGAAACAAATGGGTCACAATTAAGCACGAATTTAATTGGGGAAACGCCATCATGTCATTCACTGGATCGAATCTGCAAGATTTAATTAAGCCGTACTCCGTTCCGTTCCAATCCATACAACGATTTTTTTGGTTGCTCGGTTCGGTCGGTTGTTCATGTGTCCCAATATCTCCTCTCCTTTTCTTCTTTTTTTTCCCTTCTTCTTTTAACGATGCAGTAGTGTACTGCCCACATCACAAATTATAAATGTTTTGACGTCTCTGCCTCAATATACTTGTCCATTGACAAATTTGGAAGTATGTTTAGTTAGTTCAACATTCCCGTTCCATACCTCCACTTGCAGTATTTTATATACGTCATTTCTTTTCTATATATACATGTCATTTCATATATAGACATCTGTACTCCTTATTAGGAGGTTATGTTGGTGACAGTGAATCTAATACCCTATTTACTCTATGAACTTCATAATAGAAAACAATCAAATCTAAATAAATAGTCATATATAAAATCATATTTAGATGAATATCCCCTAAATTAAAAATATACATAACGCATTTTATGAACAAAAGTATATTGCTATTTATTTTAGGTAATATTATTACATTATATTTTCTTTTTTTGAGTAAAGTATGGGTATTTAGCTAGTACGTGAAAAACAAGGAAAAAAAACTGGGGTTTTTTAAGGCAGAAGTGAGTCCGATTCATCTTGATCATCTACATCAATGCCGTCTTAATTAATTACCTGTAAATTAAGTGAAGGCCACTATCTTTCCTTGATTAGTTAATAGTACAATTTTCCAGCTAAGCTAAGCTGTCCGACCAGTTAACGAGCATCAGGCAGGAGGATCATCATATCCTGCTGATTAAATTAAGTTTGGGACAGAGAATTGCTAGTTAGCTCCGTGTCCCTTCAAACATCATACATTCAAATGGAAGATGATATATATAGGAGTAATATAATATATCTATGCATATCCAGTTGCGTCGTACAGTGTTATGAATTGTCCTCATATATATCGATCAGTCATATTCATATAACTTTGTCCCTTGTTTGTTTTCAATCTTCTTTCTCATGTGGTTGCAGTATGAACCAAAATTGAAAACGATATTATTCCAAAAAAAAAAATGGAAACGATATACATAATGGCTTGTGGCTGTATACATATATCCACGATATAGTAGCTAGTACTGTGGATATGATTTAGTAGAACCGTATAGTACACGTGAATCAATTAAGTACATATATGTTGAGAAAAAAATGATGATGTGGTGGTAAAGTCAGGGGTGCATACTATGTATGACGTACTCCAACGGACCATCACTAACCTTTAAACAATGATATCCATAGATATTACATATGTATGGTTTGTGCTATCAATAGAAATTTAGTAAGCTCAGATTTATTATTGGTTGTTATTTCCTTAGAGTATATGTTAGAATACGTATTTGTGAATGTGTGAGTGTGCCGTGCGTATAAATCATCTAACCGGAAAAAAAAAGAAAAAAATCAAGTACAGGTGTTATAGCAGCTGATGACAGCAATCAACTCATCGTGACATTGACATGAATGTGTTTATTTGCTCATCTCTGATTAACCGGTCGGTCGGTCGGTTATCTGCCACGTGTTTCGCACACTGTGCATACGTATGCATGCATATTAACATCAATCACAGAGACAAACTACATATCAAATTAAACGTTCGGATGCAAATTAAGATATTTCCACTAACTGGCTAGCTTGTGTTAGCTATAGCTAGCTAGCTTATTTATCAATAAAAACATACAGTACCATGTATATATTATGGTTTCATTAAACAAAAGTAAACCATATTTCATATTTAGGGATCAAACTTCAGTGGTTGAGATATATTCGACGAACGTAAACAAATACACAAAAACTTTCAATCGAATGTATCTCGCCAAACAAGATCAAAGAAGAATATGTGATGCAAGCAAAACATGAACATTATGCGCAATTCGTATATGGACATGGCATAATTAAAAAGTTACGGGTAATGGAGATGACCTGTTAAATGTGTATCTTTTGTTGCTTTGCATCGACCGGTCGGTTCATTGATTTCAAGGTAGATCAGATGCTGATGCTCTGTGTTAATAATTGTTTATGAGCTATAAGCTAGCTAGTGGAAGCCCATGGATTGATGAAATACAAGCTGGGAAGCAAGATGCAAAGCAGAGCACACATTTCTATTTTTTTTTAAGTGCCAAATTTGCAACATGCTAAAGCAGCGGTTTTCGTGATCAAGCTAATTTAAAACGAGCTAGCAAAAATATTCTGCAATCTTTGGAAGTTGAAATGTAGGATGGATGGATTGATTGATTCTACAGAAAGTGAGAACAACTTTGGCCACATATATATGTTTTCTTCCACTGAAAATTCTTGCAAGCTAAGGAAAGAATTAACAATCAAAATAACTTCATCTTTTTTTAGCTTTTGACATGAATTAAGATCACCAAAAAGATTCCTTGTTTTGTTGTAGAGAGTATAACATAAAGAAAATGAATCTTTGTACAGAAAGAGCGAAAGATTGATATCCACATTATATTGGTCGTATACTTTGGGAAAAGAAAGAAATTAAAGGACGGTAATGACCGACTTTTTCCTCCTGAAGAAAACAGTTGAGATCATCTGACTATAATATCGTTTTGGATGCATGGTATACGTGCATGCAAAACACAAAAGTTTGTACTTACGTAGAGAGCTAATTTCAACCATGGACCATTTTTTTTATAATTAAAGAAAGTACGCTATCAGTTGGAAATGTACTTTATGAGAAAGTTGGATGGAAGATTGGAAGAGAGATAGACGCGTGGTTGGTGGTCCGTGCCTTTTGATCGTATGAACGTATGATCATAGCATCATTTTGGTCTTGATTTTTGCAGCACATGTACACACATGTAACAGTATTAGTACGTGTGTGTAGCCCACTTAATTATTAGTAATCGAGACTTTGTTTAATGTGTGGATCGAGTCGAGTGAGCACATATATTCCGGCACGCACTACAGTGTACTATAGTATAGTGTTTCTGGTGTGCATTTTGTTTGATCTCCTTTTCAATTCGCCAGCTAGCTTAACTGGATCACCTTTGTTTTTGTCTTTCCTTTTTTTTTTAACGGGGTACATGGCACGCGTCTACGTCTTGTATGCTGCAAAATGATACTCTCTCCGTTTCAAAATATTTAACACTGTTAACTTTTTAGTACGTATTTGACCATTCGTTTTATTCAAAAATTTAAGTAATTATTTATACTTTTCATATCATTTGATTCATTGTTAAATATACTTTCATGTACACATATAGTTTTACATATTTTATAATTTTTTTTAATAAGACAAACGGTCAAACATATGTTAAAAAGTCAACGGTGTCAAATATTTAACGGAGGGAGTACAATCATACAGCTGATAGCTAGATGCATGCGTGCTAAGCATATAGGCATCTGATCCCTGATCAGAACCTGAAAAGTGCACGAGACGAGAGCCAAACTGTACGCATGAATGCACGATCGTGCTGTCACCATGCATGGATGCCAAGCTATAGCTAGCCAAGCATATATCATGTGTTAGAGTGAGAGTGAGACTACTCTTTTTTCTGTTCATGAGTATATGCTGTTCATGAGCACTACTCTTTTCTTTTCACCCCAAAAGGTGCTTTATGTTTCTCCTAATTTAAATTAACTTTAACCAAATTTTTAGAAAGATATCAATACCTATAACACTAAAATTAGCATAAAAAATCTACCATTGAACATGTTTTGTAGGTACTTCATCCATTCAAAAATATAAATATTTCCATATTCATTTTGAAAAACGTACTGAAATGTTTATATTTTTTTAATAGCTAAAGTATTTGTTCTATGTAAAAGTGCTGATTTATTTCTCTGTGAACTTGATTAACCTATAACACCATCAAACCTTACAATATGAAACAGAGTAACTATATTTTTCTTTCTCAAGGAACTACCTTGTGTACTCTCTGCAGTCAACTTTACTGTGCCATTGTCACTGACATGTGGACTCGACGACATATCAGGTCCATATGTCATTGACAAAGGCATAGTACATTAACCGCAGAGCAGAGGATCCTGATCCGTGTACTACTACTGTTCTGTTCTTCCCTATCCCTAGAGGCAGCTGGCTGAGAGGACTCAATCAATTAACTGGTGATCGATTTGATTTGATCTGATTTAATGTGCATCGTCGTTGCCCCTGTTCTGTTTTCTTAATCAAGCAGCAGTAATTTTCCAACTCATTCGATTCCAATAGATTAGATATAGATAGGTAGCCTGTTGCTGTATGAACTATCGGCGTCACCCACCATGGAGATCGAATTAAGGTCATGGATGCATGAATGCGGCCCTACGTCCGTCTAAAACATGACACAAACCAAAAGACAAAAAAATATTGTGTGGGTTTGGTTTATCGGACGGCGCCGCTCTTACTCTGGAGTACTTACCTTAGCTTGCGCCTGCAGATTCTATAATTATCTATTGACCGTTTCGTCTAACACTGATCTCATCCTCCTAATCCTTGCACTCACCTACTTATACTTGATTTAATTATTTAAGTCTAATCAAAATATCTCTCTGATATTGAGCTCTTTTTTTTTCTCCCTTTGAGCTGTCTATATATGTGATCTAATCGAATCAGCCGGACTGATCCTCAACTACACGCTTCATCATCCAACGCTCCAGTGCTCCACCATCTGCATTCCAATTTCCAAACCACTTCCCTAACTTTTTCCACCCTCACCCACAAACAAATCTAACCCAAATAGTTTATGTACTAACAGGATGACTAATTAGCTCAGCTTTGCCCGCGGCACACACTTTTGGCATATAAAGTCCGTGTCAAAGTTTCAGATGAAAAGTTTCTGGATGGAAGTTTCCAAACGAAGGTTTTTTCAGATGAAAGTTTTCATTAAAAAATGTGTTGAAATCCCTATGTTTGGGCCTAATAATACAGCGACCAAGCGGCCCAACCTACGACCACCAGACTGCCTACGTGCCATTTTGGCCCACCCAACCCAAATATTGTAGTAGCTCTATCAAACTATATGACTATAAAGAACGTGCACCTTTAAACAAGATTACAAGACAAGTATCAGTTGCTCTAGACTCTGAACCCTTTGTTGTTTACATCATGCCCATTTAACCCCATAACATTAACACAAATAAATTTGTCAAAAAAAAAAAGGTGCAAGAAACTGACTTTACAGGTAGGATGGACAGTGGCAATGTGTAAAGACCAAGCCCCGTGATGTGACACTGCACCTTGGAGTTTCAGCAAAAATCTCTGCAAGTAAATCATTGCATGAATTCAGCTGCTAACACAATTGACGAAATGTATATGACAGCTTAAGAACGGAGCAAAAGGTAAGGAACAATGGAATGCCTTGCAGATGAGCTTACCTGGTGAAATCAGAATTCATCCAAAGCCCACCATCCACTAAAGATTCAATCAAGCAGCTTCAGGGCTTATTTCGCATATACGGTCAGCCTTACTTGAGCTGTGACTTCAGGGTGAAGCTTAATCTCTGCAATGTATTCCCCAATTTCACGAATTTCTGGCACTGTCACGAGACGCTTGTCGACATCCCTACATGAAATAGTTTCCGGTAAGCAAAGCAACAGCAGCAAATAGAGCATCGCAATCCTTCCTTAAAAGGTAGTGATTGTCAGTGCACTTAGAAGGGCATACCTATTAAGTTGTGACTTTATGATGTCAACAAGATCTTGTGCTGTGACGCTGTAGAATAGAAGAAAAACTTGTTATTAAGTGCAAGTAAAATAAGACGATACATAAAGAACTATCTACTCGATAAAAACTTGCCTCCCAAATATCTGTTTTCCTTTCCCACCTTTACGTGGCACTTTGAATGCCCCAATAGTTTCAAAAACACGGGCAAGTTGCTGTGCCTCTTCTTTTACCTACTCAAGCACAAATGCTCAACAGGGTAAGATTATGCTAACACTGGATGAAAGTTCTTATACTCTTATGGAAAATGATATTGGTAGGAACAAATCATGCTTTAGACTTTTTACAAAATAAGCTAAACCACAACTACGTACCCTGGAGAACAAGGATTAGTAGGGTATAACTACCACAGTAGTTTTTAGACAGACAGGAACAAATAGGAATAAGTTTCAACTATATCAATTCTTACTGAGTCCACAAATAGAATAATAGGTTTACTTACCCGCTTCTTTTCAGCATCTATCCTCTCCTGTTCTACTTGCATTTCCCTGTAGACAGCAGCAGAGGAAATTAAGTAGCTTACTAGCCATCCTTTTACAAGAACTAATTGAACATGTTGAACACCCCAGAAGAACTGAACTAGAAATGCAGAATAGGCATCTATAAAAGTTTGCAGATTTATATGTCAATCCTGGGCTCCACAAGGAGGCAAGAGATACAATGGCTAACACAACAGAATAAATAGCTGCAAATTTACACCTGCAGCATACTGTGAAAACCAACTACGATGAAACATAAGCATACGTCAATTAATTTACTAGGAGCACCTATCTGTTGGTTGAAACATAGCCTATACAATTCGTGAGATGTGGTAAATGACTGTAAGACAGAAGATTACTTGAGTACTTCTGGGGTGAGCAGCGTTGCCTTGCCCTTTGGCAGAAGGAAGTTGCGGTAGAACCCGGCCCTCACTTTAAGCGTGTCCCCTTTCTTCCCCACCTCTGCTATGTCATCTGTCAGTATGACCTGGGAGAAAAAGAAACTCAAGTGAAGTAAATCAAATACGGAATCGTGCATTACATGCTAAAGTATAGAAATGCATAATAGACAAGGAAGATGATGACATAGGCTTGGAACATTTTACAGTTTACAGGTGCAAATTTTGAACTGGGTGTATCTAGATGCCTTTTAGTTGCAACTTTCCCTACAAACAAACAGCATGGCCAAACCAACAATTCCGGCGTTCCGGGGCATATACAGAATCATATTAGAGATGACTTTTGCATCTGAGTTGCAATGCTAAGAGGCACCTAATTAAAAACATGACGATAGTTTCTTCCATTTCCATGTACTGCATCAGAGCATGCGTCCATGGCAATGTATCTTTTCCTATACTCAGATGTGTGAATGCACACAGTAATCTTAAGCTTACAGCTGCTGCATTTCGAATTTTTCGATCGATGGAATGCAGTCGCATGCGCTTTGTAATCTACTGTACTGATTAGTGGACAGGGTGGTGACAGACAGTACATTGGGTATGGCTAGTTCTAAAAGAGGCAAAACAAAAGCATCACCAGCAACAGCTTGTTCAATCAGTCAGTACTAGTACTGCTTAGCTCGAACGAATCGCAATTAAATACATACATACATACATGCTGCAACTGTGGAGAGAAAATACAAGTGGAAGCCAAACCTGGCGATACTTCTTGACCTTGCCCTGGGCGACGACGACCAGCGACGGGGAGCGGCGCGGCGGGAGGCGGGAGGAGGGGGCGGAGGAGGAGGCGGCGGAGCTCCAGGCGAGCGTGGAGGCCATGGCGTTGGGGATGGATTGCGGGGGAAGGGAAGGAACTGCGGCTGCTGCTCTCTTATCCACTTCCCCAACGGATTTGGTGCCCTCTCTCTTGGGCTTTGCGCTGCTTTGGGCCTTTCAAATCGGCCCAGTATCAAAGGTTTTCTTCGGGGTTGTCATGGGCTTGAAGATTAAGGGTCATTTTGGTTTGGCGCTCCTTCTTGCCTTACTAATTCTTTGATAACTTAAAGGTCAAAAATAAATTATTTGGTAACTTTGAATAGTTAACACGTAACTATTTGAATTAGAGTCAAATTTTGCTAAATCAATAAGGTGAAGCCAAATAGACAATAACAAAAATTTAGTAATACCAAAATTTACTCAAGATTTGGCATTGCCAATATTTTGGCATGGTTTCATACCAAACAAGTCGTAATAATAATCCACCAAATTGTAACCCCCTTCCACTCAACGTATAGAGAAAGGTAGGAGATATATATGTACGTGATACCTCGACGATATTACTAAGATAGATAGATAGTACATGTGATGCCAAGATGTTATAACATACATTAAGAGAAACACTCAGGGGTCTTCCGGCTAGCTCCACAAGGTGATAGCCTAAATGACCTGGATTCGTAACCTCACCCCTTCTAATTATTTGATATTAGGTCCTTCACTAATATTCATGTTATAACATAAATCGAGAAATATATTATTATAACACTATTTTGGTGCTATCTTGAAACTCAACGATACATCACTAGCTACCATTACGTATAAACGTGTATTAATAGTATAAGCAAATATCAACGAGTATCATCAAGTATCAATGTGCAAGAACGAGTATTAGCAAATACTCCGTATCTTCATGAATAATATCAAAGAGTATAATCAAGTATCATTGTTTAATTATCAACGAGTATCATCAAAATATCATCCTCGTATATCATACTCCAGTATCATCTTGTTGTACTTTTTCTGACAAAGATCTCCAGCTGGTGACCTGTTTCTCGAAAGGAACAAAAATTAAAAAAAAACCTAGCAAATCGTTCTTAAAAAGAATGGCGATTATATATCTTATTGAATTAGTATGTCTACTGCTCAACGAGATGAGAAAACCGAAGAGAAGAGGGGTATATAATCGAGTATATGTCATCGTCGTCGTCATGTCATGCAGCCGTCCATGACTTCGTCCTTCCCGCCATCGGAGAAACCAAACAAGCGGACTCCACGAAGCTAGCTAAGCTAGCTAGCGCGCCAAAACTTTAAAAATCCTCACACCCTCTTCCACCTTCGCTTCATCTCCAATCCAATTCTCCATCGATCGTTACACCCAAAGATCGAGATACCAATACCATGGAGGAAATCTTGGAATCCGAGTACTCGGCCGCCGCCGCCGCCGGCGACGCGGCGTCCTTCGTGCTCTCCCGCTTGCCCCACCCCGACACCACGGCCTCCGCCGCTGCCGCCTTCGTCGTCGACGTCGCCGGCGCCGGCGGCGGACGAACGACGACGCTCTCGTTCGTCGCCCTCCGCCGTGCCGCGCTCTCCCTCGCCTCGGGGCTCCGGTTCGGGCTCGGCCTCCGCCGTGGCGACGCCGTTCTGGTGCTCTCGCCCAACTCGCTCCTGCTCCCGCCCATAGTTCTTGGCGTTCTGGCCGCCGGTGGCGTGGTGGTCGCCGCCGACCCGGGCTCCACGGCTGAGGAGGTGGCCACCGTGGCGCGCAGCTCGGGCGCGGTGGTCGTCGTCGCGGCGCCGGAGGTGGCCGAGAAGGTCGCCGGAGCAGGCGTGCCGCTGCTGCTCACGTCACGATCAATGGATCCCCGTGCGCTCTCCGCGGAGGAGCTCATGGACGACGGTGACCCGACGGCGTTGGCTTCTCCTGAGGCGTCGGCGGCGGCGGCGAGGCCACGACCATCGGATGTAGCTTTCGTGTTCTACTCCTCGGCGACCACCAAGACGGCGGCGACCATGACGCACGCCGACCTCATCGCCGCCGTCTCCGGCGCAAGCTTGCCGGAGGAGGGCCGTGTTTGCTTGGCGTCTCTCCCCATCTGCAGCGTCCACGGCTTGCCGCTGCTCGCCCTCGCGCTCCCAGCCGCCGGAGTGACCACGGTGCTGCTCGCCGCCTCGCCGTCTTCCGATCCAACGGCGGCCATGGAGGCGGCGGCCGCGCACGGCGCCACCGACGTCGTGGCGACGCCTGACGTCGCGGCGGCGCTCGCGGCTCCCCTGACGATGCTCTCCTCGCTGAGGAGGGTGACGGTGGTGCCTGCTCTCGCGACGACGGAGGCGCGGCAGGCGTTCCGGCGGTGGCTGCCGTGGGTCGAGCTGACGGAGATGTCCGGCTCGCCGGAGAAGATGATGGCGTCAGCTTCGGAGCAAGTGCAGGTGGCGCCTGACGCTGCAAGCGCCGCGGTGATAGCACAGTAAGTGCGCCCTTACTGAAGATTCTATGTATCAGTCAATATTTGACACTTACGAAAAAATGGCACATTTCACCTTCTTTACATGTCAAAATTCTTGCAGGCAAAACAGCGGAAAGGCCCATTCAATATCAGTGACAAGTGAACCAACTTCTTCGGTAAAATTCTCGACTCAACATCACTAGAAAAATCATGCATGAAAACATATGTACTAGAACAAACATTGGCAAGGAACGATGTCCTTCTCGGGGTTTATGAATGAGATACACACAGAATTGAGACATGCATATAGTGACAACTGAACCAAATTTATATCTGAATAGTATATTTGCAAGTTTGAGGTATATAAACAATGTATTCATCCCCTCGCCGAAACCAATGAACACTTTCTACTTCTGTAACACCGACTACAGAAAAGTATGCCATGACGAACACAAAATTAATAACTAATCAATTATTTCTAGAATGTGATACAAATGATTCGGTATATTTGTATGATGTTATGCTCTTACTATTGAATGTCTAACTTGCCTATGGAAAATTTCTACCAGGTGCCACTACTTAAGAAGATTCAGAAGACTGTCTTGGGAGATATTATCTCAAAATCAACCGCGAACAAGATCTTGAGGGAGCACCCAGAAATTATCTCAAAACTGTAGCAGCTCTGCATGCGTCTCTCTGCTTGGTAGCTGCTTGTCTTGGTGTTGGTGGACCTGACAACCATGCTCAAAGGGTTACAAGCACTGCAAAAGTTGTACTGTGAAATATAGCGAATTGAATGAGTGGCAACAGATTACGAAATTATAGTCTGAATCAAATTGTATGGAAACGGGCATAATGCATGATAGGAGAAAAATGCAGTATTTATGCTAGCACTTGATTTCTGTACCTTCAGCCTCCAGGACTTAAGTGACAACTCTGTGTGTGAATTTGTATTTGGAGTACAGAAGAAATGCAGGTCTAAATTCAAATAACCTCTGTGGGTACGTGACTACATGTATTTGGTATCACAGCATTTTAGCAAATATCTTTGTCTCGAACACGCAGGAGATCTACATTTTAGCAAATACGACTTGCATATGATTATATATATGATATGACATTTTGACCAAGAAAAGGTTCTACCCCAGATGATCTGTTATTGGGTTCATTTCACAAATACCAACTTTTTTATCGGCCGACTCACACAACCACTACATAGGAAGAAATACTATAAAACAATAACTCTTGAAATGTTCGTGTTGCCGATCGTTATATATTACCATTTTATATCAATGTTACAATAGCAATACCAAAATGAGTTAAAATTGGCAGCTCACAAATCTCATCATTCTTAAAATAAAGTTCCAGTAGTAAAGTGGTGCAAAACAAAAGCGCTTTGACAATTACTTAAAGCACAAGTACACCAGAAGTTCCACTCCAGGATGTTGCAAGTAGCACTTACTATTCATCATCAGAGATCTCTGCACTTCCTGCCACCCACTTCCAAACACCCCCAGATTTCTGTCTTTGAGCAGTTGTCATGGTTTGCTCCACCTGAGATATTTGTTGCCGCAACACTTCTAGTTCATTCTCCAAAGAATCAGTAGATTCCAGTCTTTTATGAGCAGCAGCAATTTGGGACTGAATTAACGAGAATAAGGAAATAGGTTAGCGTTCAGAAGCATGTAAAAGGATCAAACAAAAGAAGATGGCATGCTCATGCTTAGAATTCATTGTAGTGCATTAAGACAGAACCTCCAGTTTCTGGCACCTAGAACCCTCTGCTGCTAACTGATGTTGAACTGATTTAAGCTCCTTCATAAGAAAGAAAAATAGTGAGGATTTATTAGAGATGAATTGAGAATTCCATTTTACAAAATGGAAAATAAACATGTACCTTTGTCAATTCACCATGCGATAACTTTACCATATCTAGTCTATCCTTTAGTTTTGAGTTTTCATCACGAACTTCTGCCAGTCTGGACTCTAGCTTGCCTTTCTCTCCATTAAGTGCATCAAGTTCAGTAGTAATTTGTTTGGAAGAACCTGAAGGCTGAACTCTCTTCACATCTAAATCATCCGTTGCAACAATGTCTCTGGTTTTCTCATCAGTTATTACAGCATAGGCAGCTGTCACAGAAGCAGCTGCGGCGGCAGCAGCTGGTGATTGGAGCAGACGAGGTTGCACTAAATTCCTTGGCTTAAGTTTCATAACAAATATCTGCAGCAGTGTCCACTTGTGAAGAAATTGCAAATGGAAAAATGTGCACCAAAAAGGAAGGGAAGATGAAAAGAGAAAAAAGATGCAAATTCATCCTGAGTGTGTCAAGCATTGAAGGCACAAGACATGTGACACCTAAAAGTAAAAAATCTACAGATGGATCATTTCAAAGCTGAATTGAAGTACTATGCATAGAACTAAGTCACTCTTTTAAATTCAATACCTCATTATTGTATTGTCCATTGTAACCACCAAAGGCAACCAGAAACTTTTCGCCATCAACTGTGGTTGAGCAAAGAGTGAGACCCTGAAAAGTTTTTTTTTTAAAAAAAAGAAATATAATATTAAAGAAAAGTTGTCAGCAAAGCAAAATCCATTATGTTCTTAAAACAGTAGAAAGAGAAGCATCCACATTTGCTGTCAGGGACTTGAAATTACTGCTGAAGTTTGAGGAAAAAGAAAATTATCTATACCATAAATTGTGGTGGGTACAGATTATGATGATGTAGATTGATCAGAAATATATAGGAGTTGTTAAAGCTGTATAAGAAATACGATTTCATTTTCAGCAATCGCCACAGAACTGTGCAGGAAATTCGGCTAGTTTACTATTAACATGATTTGTTTTACGTAAGTATAGAGGAAGGAACTTCCTATTCAAATGTGTTTGTTCTCACAGTTGTGCGATAGAAATTTATATGAGCAAAATTTATCACAGAACTAGGTAGCACAATTGTTTACCTCACAAGCAAGCGGATCTCGGGCTGGCACACTGGTGACTACAGACCAAACGAACTTGGAAGCATTCATCATAATTGTATCAGTAGAACCTGCATCGTTGTATTTTCTAGCTACTTCAGCAGCACAGGTGGTGCAAATAAAATGAAAATATGAGCATCATGTGTTCAGGAATTACCACTTGCGTTATCTCCGCCACCAACTATGTACCAATTTTCATCAATCATGGTACCAGCATGACCACTCCTAGGATTTATGTGCGCGCCTTGAGTGTCAGGTTGAGACCACTCCATCTGTAAGCATTAAGCTTCACTTAATCAAGAATGAATAGAAAACAATGTTCATAGGAGTATTAGTCAAATCATAACTTGGGTTGATATAAGGGGAGGAAATAAAATTCTCCTTCATTCAGAAGCACAACATGATTTGTTTTATGTACCTATTGCCAGCTTATGATATACGGTAGTTGCTGTTAAGTTTTCGCCATAACAGACTGAAGTTGGATCTTAGTCATTGCATACAACCACCCAGAAATTCAACCTTAGTTTCCATTAACTGGATACAGTTTGAAACTTGAAAGGCCTACTAGAACCTAGAACTACCAGTGCGGGGGGTTTGGAGATCTTCAATAGGCAATCAATGAATAAATATCAAGACAACTGAGTAACTTTTTGCCTTTGAAACTTATGGTATGTGACTCAATGCACAAATCCATCTGTATGGCAAGATACATGGAGAGTATATAACACTTACAGTTTGCAAGTCAAGAAGGTAGATATCACTAAAGCATGTAGAGTGAGAGGAACCGCCAAAGATCAAAAGATACTGATCAGCATAAACAGCAGCTGAATGATCATACCTAGGAGCTGGACCACCTTTCCTATTTCACACAAAGATAATAATGAATTATGCAATAACAATACGTAAATGGAACCTTGCACAATCAATAAATAAATTCTTACCCTGTTTTAACTTCTTCCCACATCATTGTCTCCAGGTCAAGTATATGAAGGTCGTTCAGAAGTCGCCTCTTGTTATCCTCTCCACCAAACATTATCAGTCGAGAACCAACCAGGGATACAGATTGACCACCACGAGATATCTGGTTGAGAAAAGCAGAGAAGTTCAGTATTCAGAAAATTCTGCAGAAAATATATGCCAGCACATTCAGTTCTATCACTTCAAAAGAATTACTTTTTGTTTCAAATACAAAAGGAAATGATTCTTACTGGAACTTTTCCATATGTATCAACAGAAGACCAGCTATTTGTTTCCACATTAATAAGCCAAACTGCATGCAGATAGTCAGCACTATCATTTAAGATAAATACCGGTCTTGAAATTTTAATAGAACATAATTAAAAAACTGCAAGGATGATATTACATGTTAGCAAGTACTATAGACTGTTTGGGGCACCTTGAAAGTGAAGCTAATTATGAAGCATATATGATTAAATAGAAAGTTCAGTACACTGTGTACAAGTGCATAACATAAGGAAATGTAAAAATCATCACTTAAAACAATATCAAAGTTAATCCGAACAGCCTTTAAACACATGAAACTACATCGAGTAATTATCTTAGTCAGCATTTCATTTGCATCTCATTTTTTTGCCAGGACATATGAAATGACATGGAGCAAGGAATAGTCGGTACCATTTTACAGGTAGAGGCAAAGAAAACCAGGAAAGGGTTCTGAACTAACGTACAGATTGCTTCAGTTCCCCTATTGGAGATTATCTATCTTAAGCGATAAATAGGTCCATATAAAGATGTAATGTACATATAGCCGCTTCAAATATTGCATCTATACAATATGTAAGGTCATAAAGGATCATGGTAATTGGTGGTGTGGCAAAGCAATAAAGTCATAAGTGGATTATTTAGCAATATATATGTCTAAGAAGATCTATGATAGGAAGATTCTGTGCTCTATGTTTCAGTGTGACGATATCTATCAAATAATTGTAGAGCTTTTGAATGAGTACCTGAAACCTTGTTTGATGTTGATGTTCTGGTGTTCCCAGCTACAACCACAATATATTTTTTCCAGTTGACCTAAGTGGTGACACTATGTTAGCATAGGAAACATACCAATGTTGGATTGTATGATAAAAATATTGCTAAGTTGCCATACAAGTGAAAGAGAAAAGATAGTAAGTTTACCAGACTGTGGCCTGCTAGTGCAGGGAATGAAGGGTCTGTGGTATTATTTTCGATATTCAACTGACTTGAATCTCTAGCAGCACTTAATGCTGACCACTTGAGTGTCCTAAAATCAAAGACCTGTGAAGTTTTCCCTTGTTATGATATAGAAGGAGAAATGGCATGAGAAACATGATTTGTTAGAGTGCATTAGTGCAGACTGAAAAACCTGGATATCTGATAGATAGCGGCCATTACGACTCCCACCAACCACATAGAGTTTTTCACGAACCACTTCCGCAGCATGCTGTCATGTATTAGCACTTCAATAAAATATGATAGACAACATATGGAATAACCAAAGAACATCACGCTATTCAAGTTATCTTTTCTTTTCGGCGAACTCGCAAAAGCCTTGCGCATCGATATGTTAGCAGGAAAAGAGAGATTTTACAACTGCGACCTGCTGAGTGCTGACGCAGATCATGGGGGTTTACAGGGGAGAGGGAGGGCACGCTAGATTAACTAGGGTAGAAACCATACTCCTGAGAACAACAAGGAGAGGAGAAAAGGAGAAAGAGTAGTGACTAAGCACCAAGAAGATCTCCTAGGGGACTAGGCAACGCTGCAACCCAAAGATTTTCAAGTTATCCTTATCATATACTATCTTAAGGTTTAATGGGTTTCACAGTCTAACAAATGGAGCACACTACAACAACGGTTTCAGTATGCCGCCTTGCATAAACTCTTTGGCTTTAATCAGATAACCATGAAAACAGGACAGTAGGGAAATTACCAAAATGTGGCCACACCCGCGTATCTGAAACCAAAATTCTCTCAAGACTACTTCTGTCGGCCATTTCAGTCCTAATGCCAATCCCTCGGCATTGTCCCACTATACGCAGAGATGGCATCTCCAAAGCCACAGGATTAGGCACGCGGTTTGTCACATTTTCGCATTCGTTTGTTCTTAACGTGCGTTCCCTGAGAATTGATACGACAGCATCTACTACTCGCATTCGTTTGTTCTTAACGTGCGTTCCCTGAGAATTGATACGACAACATCTACTACTCCAACTGATCAATACGGACAAAATTACGAAAACTACTGCTACAACAATAAAAATTAAAAATCAGACGACAAGGCCGTGAGTAATCGGAGGTAGAAATGGAATTGGGCGCACCTTGTAACGCGCGGATGGGCGCGGGGATCCCCCGGCGGGGCTGAATGGGAGCCACTGGTCGTACGGCGCCGCCGCGAGGTCGCCGGCGTCGCCGTTGATCCCCTCCCCCATTTCCGCCTCGAATCTGCAGGGGATCGATGTGGATTGGAGGACGGGGATGGGCCGGGGTTTGGGGATCTGCGCGGTGGAAGCTTCCTCCGCGGATTGGATGGATTCCTCCCAGAATTTTGACTCGGAAAATTGGATCTGAGGCCGCGGCTCGGATTTCCAAGCGAGCGCGGATCACTGGAGTGGACTCCTCGTTGGTTTCTGCGTGTCACGTTCGCTATGAAATACGCCTCCCTGTTATGAAATCGTAAATGGAGCGCGAAGGCGTATACACTGGAATGTGTTCTCACGTACAGAAAACGTATTCTCGTGAATACGCGTTGGCTTACGATTGACGTAAATGGTGGCCTGTACATCTTTTGAAGGTGAATGCGCTGATGAGACGTTGGCATTCAACATGTACTTTGGTCCAAGTACTATAGGTGCGGAAGGAAAGTGTAGATTAATTATTGAATTGTCTATTGTTGTGCATATTATTGGATTTTTTTACTGTAAACTGTATTTCTTTTATTAACGTATTCCCTACGTACTCGTAAAGGAAGTCGTTTTGGACAGCGACACGGTCTCCAAAACACAACTTTAACTTCTTCTTTCTATAAAAATATTTATTAAAAAATAATATATGCATACTCATATGAAAGTATTTTTCAAGACAAATCTATTCATATAATTTTTACATTTTCAAACTCAACAACTTGAGAGTTATTCATGATTTATATTTCTAAGGTTTGACTTAAACATTGTCCTAAACGAGTACGGAGGAAGTACAAATTTACTCAAATGTGCGTGCGTACGTAGTTAGTATTACCTCCGTTCAGAAACAAATGTCGGTTTTTACTTTGAATTACCAATCTCTCACCAACTGTATTTTTATAAAATAATCTGATTATAGTATCAAAATTGTATCATTAGTTTGTAATCATAACCACTTTACTAATAGTTAAAGTTTACTACTGCTTGATCAGATCAAAACTAACAAAGATCAAAGAAGTACAAAAGTGATACGGAGTGCTATATAAAATGCGCAAACAAACTTATCGTGTGCCTTATGCGACAACTCGGAGACGTAATGCGATCGATACACCTTCCCTAGGAATGAGCTGAGGTTGACAAGGCATCCTCACTCTCTCTTCTCTATAATATTTTTAAAATCCTGATTAGGTGTCCAGTTAGAATCATTAACCTAATACTACGAAAGAGCTGAAAGTAGTGTGAATCTTAGAATTCTGGGCCTTTTGGAATTGTGTTTAGCTAGCCATATCTCGAATCATAGAAAGCGACTGAACTATTTAGCTAACACCGACAGGCAGACAACTGAAGAATGGTGTCCAGATAGCTACCAGAACAATAGCATTTTTTTTTGTCATAACCAGATGAGTTTGGTTAAGCTAACGGATTAATTTTTGGTACGGTTGATACGCATGCAGTGATGTAGATGATGCGTGTGCTCTGAGAATTCTTGATACATCAGCAAAAGTTCTCCCGCTGTTAAATGGAATAGTAGTATTTGTTGGTGTGTATATGTTCAGGTTCTTGTTTCTGAATAAGGTAAACAATGACATGTTTTTGTCATGAAATCAGAAAAGATAGTACTGCTGATTGAACCCCACGCGTGTAGCGTGCTTATTTTCCAACGAGGAACAAATTGAGAAATGTTGGAGATAAAAGGTTAGAACAGTTAGGGGTTGGTAAGTTTGCTTTTTTCCCAACTACCTCTTGTTCCATCTTCCATACATGATGCATGCTTCACCGCCAATATGTCAATCTTCTGATAGCAGCTCGCATTTTCATTTATAACAAACTTGTTTAACTATGAAAAAATTAAGTAGCTAAGAATGTAAGCACAGATTCATAACCTTATTCAGTTCTGTTGTCTGATCTGAAAATTCAGACTACAAAATGACCAGAAAAACCAAAGATCAGCATTATATTCGGATCGCATAAATGCTGAGAATTAAGGTAGATAAACCAAAACATAACATATACTATAGATTGCTCATCCTTCCCCACCATGTGTCATTAAGAGGACTCATCATCACTGACATCAGATGAACTTGTTGGTCAAGTCTCCCCCAGATGATTATTTATCTCCGATGTTCGTGGCCCTGATAACCAATTAAGTTTTAACCTACAGGTATGTTTTCTTAATGCTGGTGCTACTAATTAACCATCTTTGAGCATTTAAGGGTGCCATTAATTTGAAAAATACAACTAGGTAAGCTAGCTTGGTGGTGTATTAAGACATGTTCATATGCTATTATACTATAAACATCATTAATGGGTATGTAGACAGCTCTGTTTAAGAAACATTACGGTAGTGGGCTTTATTTTGCAGGGTCAAGGCATATCCATCTATGTTCATGGGATATTCCTAGTATAGAAGCATCCATTTTAGTCAACGGTGTGTATAAATACGGCATGTCTCCCGTACGTGATTCATGTTGGCGACCTCTTCTCGCTCGCAACTAATTAATCAATTATCCGCGGTTTTAAATTAATTTGCGTCCTAGTACTTACTACTCAGAGATTCAGAGTCTAGCTTGTTAATAACTGAACAACCTAGTTGATGCGTTTGGTAACTAACTAGCTAGCAGGGTTAGGAGGAACATGGCATGCAATGAATCGATCGAGAGCCGCATCATCCTCACCGACCAATCCAATTTAAGGTTGGGTTCGTATAGGCAGCGAAAGGCATATGCAGGTTGCAGGGCTGGAAATCAGAGCGAAGTTTCAGAATTCAAGTGCACATGCAAAGAGGGACATTAATTCAGAAATTAGAATTAAACAGGAAGATGTCTTGACCATCTACTACGTGTACTAGCTGGAGTAGCATTGAATCCATGGAGAAGGAGAGATCAGAGAGAGGTTTTGGTGTAGTATTTGGTCCCATGCATGCATGAACGACAATTGAAGTACACTGACAGTTTGTGACCGGGAGTCACACAAGGCGGCTACACATGCACGTACAGTAGTGATCGTGATTGATGGAGGAACTCGACAACTAGCTAGTCTGAAACTGCAAGTGTGCAGCTGGGTGCCACGGCGAGCACGTCGTTGTGGATGGCCACACGGGATCCCATGAAAGAAAAGGTACGGGGAATATCCGACTCCATGGGCCCACCTGTCAGCCTCTCCTATCCCCTCCTGCCATTTGCCACGGCCTCCTCCTCCCTTTTGAAGATCATCCCTCCTTCCTTTTCCACTGCCATTGGATTGGAGGCAAAGAGATTCAGCTTAGTAATAGTACCGCTTAAATCTGCATGCGTCTGTATATCAGCAGGCTCTCCATGGCCATGGTCGATTCCTCCTAGCTTCCTTCATTCCTCAACGCTGCTGCTGCTGCTGCATGCGTGCGTCGCCGTCTTGTCCTTTTTAATTCCAGAGTAGTTAGTTAGCAGCTAATCTTGGCTTTAGTACTCCGTATTAGTTAGCCTAGCTTTGGATGAGCAGAAGGGCAGCGTGATCCTGTGCACAACCAAGAACCAACCCCAACACATGGAAGCTGCGGCAGGGGCAGGAGGAGCCATTGGAGGTAGTGGTCGCGAGGCGGCGGCGGAGGAGGAGGACGGCGGCGAGCAGTGGCTAGAGGAGGAGGCGGAGGCGGAGGCGGTGTACTGCGCCGTGGGGAAGGAGGCGGTGAAGGAATGGAAGGCGAACCTCATGTGGGTGCTCGCCGCCTTCCCCTGGAGGAGGAGGAGGAGCCGCATCGTCCTCATCCACGTCCACCGCCCGCCTTCCCGGGTCAATATGAGTATGCTCCATCGCTAGCTATTTCATTCCAAATACTATTCCAGTTTATTTCCAATTAACTCCCGTTCTTCATTGCGTGCGTTCTTCTTGTTGCAGTTCGCTAATTCTTGCGGTCTTCTTGTTGTTTGCAGAGGTTTTGGTTGTTTATGCTTCTTATTGTTTTTTTTTTCTGTTTAATTTTACGGGTTCTCAATTGCCCCCATGCATCTGTTCTTGCTTGTAATTAATCCGGTTCAGAAATGGCTTTTTTTTTCTGTTTCTTGGCATTTGATTGCACTCCTTCGAAATGGCACCATTGCAATCTCAGTATTCCAACCATTGCAAACTTTTTATATATATAAAATTCATCTCCCGTTATCGGCAAATACCTGATCTTTTCAAATCCGCTCTTGCAAATAACAGAAAATAATTCAAACCACCTTCCCTAAATGCGACAAATCTAATTTTTCTAGAAAGATCATTCCATTTCTTTTTGGCAAATAACAACCCATTTCAAGCTAGCTGCTGTCTCCTCCATGGAAACTGGGGTTTTTTGATGCTGCGGCTGTTCTACGTGCACTGCTTACATTCCTTTTATTTTCCCATTTGAGGCCTCAATTTGTTTTCTGACTTGTCGTGGACGTGCATTATCAAGGAAAAAAAATGCGTAGAAATCAACATCTCGGACAACTTAAACTATTGCTCAGAATAATCTTATACAAATACATCTCTGCCAAGTGGAACAGTACTATAGTTTCTGCTAAGCATATCCGTCTTCAGCTAAAAGCATATTCACTGTTTGTATTTTCAGTCTAATTAAGAATTGCAATGCTAGCTCTGACCTTAATCAGGTTGTAAAACATTTCCCCTTTTATCTGGCTATTATTTTGATGAAATCAAAATGTTAGACTTGGCTACCAATATTTTCTTGTAAAATGACACCAGCTGGCTGTTTATGTTCTCTTTGCTTTTCCCACCAAATCTGTCAACCTGAAAGTAGGTGCCTTTTGTTATGTTCCTACCTTTACAATACCTTTTACATTACACTTTTGTGTTCCAAAAAATGTTGGATCTTTTGTGACATTTTTTTTTGGGTACTACCTGTGGATTTGCAGTGGGGGCATGGGTCCCAGTAAGTCAGCTTGCAGAGGAGGAGGTGAATGCATACAGGCAGCTGGAGGAGGAGAGGATCAGCAAAGTCTTAGATGATCTCTTGGACATTTGCAAAAGTCAAAAGGTTGAAACCATGATAAAGAGTTCATTGTTTTACATTTGATCCATCTTGCTTGCTGTCAATATCAGATTGCTAGTCTCAACTCACCAGCAGCCTCTGGCTGTGTTCTTATTATGACAGTCTCCCTCTTCTCCATATGCAGCCTGGGTTGCTAACAAAGTTGCTGAAAAAAACTCGCAGGTCAATGCGAGCAAGATCATCTTCTCCTGCGACGACATCGCGAGAGGCCTCCTCCAGCTCGTCGATGATCATGGGATCACTGATCTTGTCATGGGAGCAGCATCTGACAAGGCCTATTCAAGGTATGGCTGTCTTGTTCTTGGAAATTAATACATACAAATCCAGCTCTCGCTGTCGCTGCTGTTGTTATCAATCGATCGGTCCAAGAACTGGCTGGTCCAGCTTGGTGCCAGTGGATTGCTGAATTCAAAGGCAAATGATCTGGAATTCTGGATGCAATGTGATGTTAGGAAAATGCGGGCGCCGAGATCTAAGAAAGCTCGGAAGGTGCAACTGAAGGCGAGCCCCTCTTGCAAGATCTGGTTTGTCTGCAAAGGAAACCTTATCTGCACTAGGTATGCATGCATGACTCAAAAAAGTCTTAATGCCAACGATGCAACTTGCAAAAGCCTTTGGTTTTTCTTCTCCCTGTCTTGCTCAAAATGGGACAGGTATTTGTAGATTTCTATGATAGCACTGATGACAAAGACTGAAGACTGAATTGAAGTAGCACACCGTTTAACTCGTGGTTATTCTTCTATCATTGTAAGGAACATGATAGAAACTTTTTTTTTCTCGAGATAAACATGATAGAAACTGTGGTTGCGTCGGCAACATTTCCCGACATAGTTGTCTGGGAATTTACCGTTCTTCTATGACCATTTTAGCTGTTCTCACATTAAGACAATGATCACAGACTGAATTAGGCCAGACATCCTGCTCAAAAAAGAATTAGGCCAGACAAAGAATAATCTGATATACTGATAATATGATAATGTTTATGACAAATGACTAACAAAATAACAAACCTTGAACAAAAATAGTACCTGTGGAAGCACTGAGATTGCCTGAACATCCTAGTTTGTGACATATTATTCTGAACTTTTGGCATTCTTCTATTAGCTTTCTAGCTGTTCTAACATAAGGATATTCTATTTTTCCTGGAAAAATATTATAAGATTTACATATTTCCTTTAATTCCATTTGTCTGATCCGTTATAGGGAGGTGAACGAAGGACTCAATAGAACAGGATCATCGACAACTAGCACAACTCCGAGGTCGAGCACTTCTGATTACTCGAGGTCGAGATCCTCGCCACGAGTGCACAGCCTAAGCAGCGAGCAATTCGGTATGCAGGATCCAGCCGAACCGACGACATCATCAGTTGATCAGACTCCTATCAGGGAGGACAATGCCATGGACCGTGGCACTGAGGGTTTTAATCATGAAGCAGTTGCTGTTGCTAGTTCATCAACAGTCCCAGTGTCTGAAAATGTAGAGGCTGTACAGAGATCAGCTGCTGCTGTTGTGCAGTCTCTGCAAGAAATTGAAGAGGACTCACCAACTCCTTCAGGGCATGGTTCGGTATGTGCTATACGTTTCATAAATCATACAGTATAATACTAGTTTCAAGGGAAAAAAAGTTGAAAGAATTTTTAAAGAAAAAATGAACAAATCCCAACATGTAGAAAAAAACTATCTGAATTCCACATTACATGACATCTGTTTACTTGTTCAGTTACATCAAGTGCTAGACATCTGTTTATTTTCCTACTCCTAGATTGTTTGATCTTGGACTGCTGAAAATGGTACTAAAATTGTCGAAATGACTTGTTTTTGTCTCCACTACAGAAACATAATTTGAACAGCACATGTTTCATAAGTCGAAGATTTTGGCCAACTGATCTGCACCAGAATATACAGCATCAGTGTAATACACATTATATGTGTTTCAGATAGTAAACATTTAAACAATAAACGGTGCATTCCGTTTTGACAGGAGGATGCTGGTGATGTGAGCGATGCGTACGACAAGTTCAAGGATGCTGTGATAGAAGCCGAGAACCTCAGGCATGAGGCATACGAGGAGACTCGCCGGCGTCAAAAGGTCGAGCGCGACCTCGCCGACGCGACAAGAATTGTAAGTAGAGGAAATGAATCCAAGCTGCATTGCATCGTTGGTTCGATCCCATTGTTCATGTCGAATTCACCATGGATGCTTCCCGCTGATTGAAGTTGCGTTTACTCGTCGTAGTAGTCTCTTCCTTTTTCTTCTTTAGTTTTTCTTGTTTTGTCTTTTCTCTCTTCTCTTGGCATAAGCCGGTCTGGCGGATTACGTTGTATAAACAAACATTCTTTTCTTCTGATATATTGACGTGCAATTCTTTTACGTGTTCGTGAAAAAATTCACCATGGATGGATGATGTGATCGATGCAGGCGAACGAAGCGGAGAGCTCGCAGCAGAGGGAGGCGAGGCATCGGAAGGAGGTGGAGGAGAGGCTGGCGAGGGAGCGCGCGGCCATGGAGCAGGACAGGCGAGAGCTCGACGACATACTCGAGCAGACACGCGAGGTGGACGCCCGCGCCGCCGAGCTCGAGCTCCAGATCACGAGCTCCGAGCGGATGATGAGAGACCTCGAGGCCAAGCTGTCGGAATCGTACGACCTCCTCCACCAGCTCCGGCGAGAGCGCCGGCGCGACGATGTGCCGGCGGAAGCAATGGCGGGAAGCGAGGCTGGTGACCAGAGACTGACCTTCTTGCGGCTCGGCTTGCCGGAGCTGGAGGAGGCGACCAACCATTTCGACGAATCTGTCAGGATCGGAGGCGGCGACGGCAGCCGTGGCAGCGTGTACAGGGGCGACCTGCGCAGCATGGCGGTCGCCGTCAAGATGATCGGCCGTGACGTCGCCGTCGACGAGGTCGGTTTCTGCCGCGAGGTGGAAGCCGTCGGCAGGGCGAGGCACCCGAACCTCGTCACGCTCGTGGGCGCGTGCCCGGAGGCCCGCGCCGTGGTGCACGAGTTCGTGCCGGGCGGGAGCTTGGAGGACCGCCTCGCCGGCGCCGCGCCGGCGCTGCCGTGGCACGAGCTGTGCGGCGTGGCGCACCGGGCATGCTCCGCGCTGGCGTTCCTCCACTCGACGCAGCCACGGGCGACGGTGCACGGCGACGTCCGGCCGGCGAACATCCTCCTGGGCGAGGAGTGCTGCTCGAGCAAGCTTGCCGGCCTCGGCATGTGCAGGCTGGTGCGGAGCTCCGGCGGCGTGGCGCTGTCAAGGCCGGCGGTGGGCTACGTGGACCCGCGGCACCTGGCGACGGGGGAGATGACCCCGGAACGCGACGTGTACGCGCTGGGCGTGGTCCTCCTCCGGCTCGTCACCGGGAAGCCGCCGTTGATGGCGAAGCAGGAGGCGCGGGAGGCCGCGGGCGGCAGCAAGGCGTGGCACGAGGTGTTCGACGCGAGCTCTGGAGGCTGGCCGTTGGAGGTCGCCAGGGAGGTGGCGCTCGTCGGGCTGAAATGCTGCGACGTGGAGGAGGAGCCAGCGGGAGCTCGCCGTCCCGGCGAACTTCTGGAGGAGGCATGCGGCGTGCTGGAGGCGGCGATGAGCGCGGCGCCGGGGAGGTCGTGGTCGTCGGTGTCGTCGTCGTCGGACGGCGGTGAGGGCGGGGCGCCGTCCTACTTCGTGTGCCCGATCTTGAAGGAGGTGATGCGGGACCCGCAGATCGCCGGAGACGGGTTCTCGTACGAGGCGGAGGCGATCAGGGAGTGGCTGCGCAGCGGGCGCGACACGTCGCCGATGACGAACCTGAAGCTGCCCCGCCGCGAGCTCGTCCCCAACCATCCCCTCCGCGACGCCATCCACCACTGGCGCCTCCGCCGCGCCATGCGAACCAACTTTACTACTGGATTAGATAGCTACTACTACTAGGCCCTTAGCACTTGTAAGGCCCACGTTTTTAGTGGGTTTTTTTAAACTTTTTTACAGTCCACGGCCCGTATTTCCGATTGTAACCCCCGGCATTTTCCATTTCGATCCATATTTTGGACCGTTCTCCCCCAGTAGGCGTAATGGTCCAACATTTTTGCATCCAAGTCCCTAATTAATTAATTATTTCAGTGAAAAATTCAGAAAGAAAAATATCAGAGGAATCTGAACAAACTAGATAAATCTACAATCCCCCCTCCCATCTATGACTCTCCAAAAATTTAGCGGGACCTTTGTAGAGGCTCTCAAGTTCTTTACGCTAGTAGTGGCGGCTCAAAACCCCGCACGCCCTCATGATGGATCCACCTTAATCAGATCGTTGCTCATGGCTAGCGACCTACTCCCTCCTTGACTCTGTTATACTAGAATATGTCAGCTCTTGTTTTTTAGATAGAGTAGAACTTTGCAATCCGGTCCCTAATTTTTGTAAATATTTTGATAAAAAAGAGTGAATTACGCTTTGGGCCACATTTTATTACCTATATTTCACTTTGGACCACCCTTAAACATATCTTTTCACTTTGGACCGGATAAATTTGCCATTGTTGCGATTTGGACCACCACGAATGATTTTTTTTCTCATGCAATCAACGACCTTAAACACATCAGCTCTAGTATACGGCCGATCTCCTCTATATATGGTTCATATGTTTGCCGAAAGGGAAATTAAACATGACGAGAAAAGTTGTCATGGTAGTCCAAACCGCAACAATGGTAAATTTACCCGGTCCAAATTGAAAAAATAGGTTTAAGGGTGGTCCAAATTAAAATTTGGGTAATAAAAGGTGGACCAAATGGCAATTTACTCAAAAAGAGTGAAAAAAAAGATTACTTCGCCGTCAACCTGGCCCATGAACATTTTCATAGCAGGCCTAGGCCCAGGTAAAGCCCCTACCTCCCGAAGAGAGAGAGAGAATGGGGATAAGTCCATCGGGTACGAGCACGATACTCCTCCCGCTGATCGCGACCAGTCCACGTTGCCCATCTTCTCGTGTACTACTCTGGCTGGCTCACTGGCAGGTGGACCCGCCCACCTCCCCCCCGAGTCCATTCCAACTTCCTCCGCGTCACAACTCACAACAGAAGCGGAGAAGAAGAGGAGGAAGAAGTCCATCTCCATCCCCATCCCCATCCCCATCCATCCCTCGCGGCGGAGAGCAGCGTGGAGGAGGAGAGGTCCGGTGGCCATGGGCACCAGCTCGCCGGAGATGGCGGCCGCGCTCTTGCTGGTCATGGCGGCTCTGGCCGGGGTCGCGGCCGGCGGCGACATCGTCCACCAGGACGACGAGGCGCCCAAGATCCCCGGCTGCTCCAACGACTTCGTCCTCGTACGCCCCTTCCCAGACTTTCTACCATCTCGCTTGCGCGGTTTCTTCGCTTGCCCTTAGTACGATGCGACCCGAATTTTCGGTTCCGAGCTGCACGGGACGGGAGTGTTCGGTTCAATTTCAGTCGTAGGTGAAGCTAGGGTTTCGAGCTATTGATTTGTGACTTTACAGTATCAGATCAGGGGGACGGTATAGAGCCTGTCCGATTTTGTCAATTGTAGACTTCACCGATGTTGTTTGCTGCTCAGAACAGGTGATTGATAACTTGGGGACACGGACTCGCGGCTTTGCTTAGAGTCTCGACTAAATTAGCCTGCCCGATTTGGTTTGAATTCTGAAGCTCATCAGTCAATCGTTGGAGCGGGCTATAGCCTACAATTAACGATCTGCTTTGGAGGCTTCGGTTGTAAGCTGAGGACCTGTCGTTAGTTACTAGTTTACTTGAACTGTTGAACAACTAGTTATTAGTGCTATTCAATTAGTGTTTATAGTTGTTAAACTAAGTTTTTAGATGGTCAGTATAGCATATGGTATTTTGTAGTCTCTTCTATATGGTGATTGTCAGTGTAGGTTTCAAAATGGCGAGTTTTAGAATTATCAAGTTTCGATGCAGGGAGATATGGTCCTTGCATTACCTGACTCACTGGCTAACCCCTGTTGTTGCAACCTGCCTCGGGCCCTCTCCAGGTGCCTGTTTGGTTGCAAAGTAGGAGGCAGGGTCACAACACAGGGGCATTAGCTTCATAGCTTCAAATTTGTTATTTTATACCTAACACCTTACAGTGCTACTTTATTGATAACAAGTATTCCTACCCATCATGTGACCATTCTTTTAACTATGTTGTTTTCCATCACCGTGTTATCAGGTAAAAGTGCAAACCTGGGTCAATAACAGAGAGGATGGTGAGTTTGTTGGTGTTGGTGCTCGTTTTGGCCCCACTATAGAGTCAAAGGAAAAGCATGCCAATCGGACAGGACTATTGTTAGCAGATCCTATTGACTGTTGTGATCCCCCCACACAGAAGGTTAGCTTACTGGAAATGACAAATTAATAGTTTGTGATTTCTCGATGGTGTCCTACATTCCTACCCAGTGACTGATTATTCCTTTATCTAGGTTGCTGGAGATGTTTTGTTAGTGCAAAGGGGAAACTGTAAGTTCACTAAAAAAGCTAAGAATGCTGAAGCTGCTGGGGCTTCTGCTATTATAATCATCAATCATGTCCATGGTATGCCTTATTTGTGAAATTATTTGTAAATTCATACATATAATGTCCTTTGCTTTATACCTGCGTTCAGCAGCTGATTAGTTAGTAGATCAAGATGTTGAAATAGTCGAATAGCATAATATTCTCCCTTACCATTTTACTATGCATATGCATGGTGGACCACTATAAACCTTCTATTTACCATTGCCATCCTACCTGAAATCTCTTCTGTGTCTTACCTTTGTTAAAAGATCATTTACTATCTATTGTAAGATTACAACCATTAGTCTCTTTACCCTACATAGGCAGATCAACATATATTCTTGCCATGGGTGCAAATAGTTAATGTGCGTGCGTGCTCAAGATACTTCCTAGGTTGTTTTATCATTGAAAGGTCAATGTCTATGCATCACACCCAAATTTAGTTGCAGTGGTTCATCACTTCATATTGTTTGATAAGTTAGATACTTACTTTTGACTGTGTTATCAGATTTTTTTCAAAGTTGGACACATGTATTGCACCAGTCCCCACATGTTTGTCAATATAGGTGAGCACTCATAAATGTGGTTAACATGTGTCCTGCACTCCTGCTTCCACTTGCAGAGCTATACAAGATGGTCTGCGACCGAAATGAAACAGATTTGGACATAAATATACCTGCAGTTCTTCTGCCAAAAGATGCAGGCAATGATTTACAGAAGCTTCTTACACGTGGTAAAGGTAAATCTTCAAAGCCTTCCACCACCTGAAATCTTGTGCCATGTCCTATGTAGGTTTTTTTTTTGTTTCAAATTTTGTTTTGTCTTGGAAGTTGTTTTTTGGCCATAGTATCTAACATATGTATCGAATTTGTTTTCAATTTCTCAGTTTCGGTGCAGCTATACTCTCCAGACCGTCCTCTGGTTGATACTGCAGAGGTGTTTTTGTGGCTTATGGCTGTTGGTACCATTCTTTGTGCATCATACTGGTCAGCATGGAGTGCTCGAGAAGCAGTTATTGAACAAGAGAAGCTTCTAAAGGTTCTGAACAGAAGCTTATTTGACTATTGTTCTGGATTTTGTTTGCTTGAAAAGAGAACTAACAGTCATTTGGTTTATGTAGGATGGCCATGAAAGTTCACTAAACTTAGAGGCTGGTGGTTCTAGTGGCATGGTAGATATCAACATGACATCGGCAATACTGTTTGTTGTTATTGCATCTTGCTTCTTGATAATGCTCTACAAGCTTATGTCTCACTGGTTTGTGGAGCTTCTGGTGGTCATCTTTTGCATTGGTGGTGTAGAGGTGTGTTCAATGCCATTCCATTTTCCCTGTAATTAATTAGCTGGATATCTGGCCCTAAGATCTTTATACTGTTTATCCATTGAAACATATAATCTGTATGCTTTCCAAATGCTAAATTTCACAAATTGTGAGGCAGTACTATATGAACTACTATGAAAGAATCATGCCAAACTGAGCAAGGAGCTTTGTGGTTTCTCTTTAATGCCAAGCATGATAACTTTTATCGAATAGAAGAATAAGGCCCTGTTTGATTCAGCTTAGGATTATTATAATTTGGATTATTAGGAGTAAGCTGAAACAAACAAGTAGATTATTATGATAGATTATTATAATCTAATAATCTTCTATGGATGAGCTTTTTCCAGATTATTGAGTGGCTAAAGACCCACTACCCTTAGATGCCTCTAATAATCCAGAGAAACAAACAGCTCACAGCTTATTCTATGTCAGTTTATTATAATCTAGTTTATAGTAATTTGATTTGATAATCTAGATTACAATAATCTTAAGCTAAACAAACAGGGCCTAAATTGACCTTAGTTCTGTTAGTCGATATTCAAAACTAATATTTATGTTTGTATGATTGTTGTTCTTACATTTCTTGAGCTCATTGTGTGTTCTTTATTATTTGTTTATGCAGGGTCTGCAAACTTGCTTGGTGGCTTTATTGTCAAGGTACATTTGTGGCCCTTTGAAATTGTTTTATGGGCTAGGATTTATATAGTAGACACGTCTCAGATGAATATTTATATATCATGGCTGTGGGCTGTGGCCAAGAGAACATAAGAAAGTTTCCTTACCAGTAATCATGTGATCTTTCAGATGGTTTAAACCTGCTGCCGAATCTTTCGTGAAAGTGCCCTTCTTTGGAGCGGTTTCATACCTTACAATCGCAGTCTGTCCATTTTGCATTGTGTTTGCTGTTATATGGGCTGTTTATCGCCGGATGACCTATGCTTGGATTGGGCAAGATATTCTTGTAAGTGAAGTTTCGTTTTTATACCCTCACCCTCAATTGGGATGATTAGGAGGTTGAATGTTAATTAACATGGTGCCTGTCTTCAGGGTATTGCTCTGATTGTTACTGTAATCCAAATTGTTAGGATACCTAACCTCAAGGTAATTATTGTGCCCTGCTGCTTATGCTTACCATATAGTGGGGAGTGGGGACTTTTATAACAATTCTTGCTCTTTTTCCATCATGATCAGGTCGGATCTGTTCTTCTCAGTTGTTCCTTCTTATATGACATCTTTTGGGTTTTTATCTCCAAGATGTGGTTTCATGAGAGTGTGATGATTGTGGTAGGTACAGATGACTACTTTCATACTGTGATGTTCTGCTTCTGCAACTTGCGAAATGCTAATTGCCCTAGCGTCTGCTCGTAGGTTGCCCGTGGTGATAAGACTGATGAAGACGGTGTGCCCATGCTGTTAAAAATCCCACGAATGTTTGATCCATGGGGTGGATTCAGTATCATTGGCTTTGGTGATATACTTCTTCCTGGGCTGTTGATTGCTTTTGCATTAAGGTCAGTGTTAAATTCTGCCCATCCGCTTTATCTACAAGTCTTTGCCTAATCCTGCTATATTAACGTGCAAGGCTTTTGCATATTTGTGAAAAAAAAATAGCCTAATCCTGGTGGGCTATCATAAATTGCTCAGGAGGCTTGAGAACAATCAGCATAAATTGTTTTGGATTTGCAGGTGTCTGAGCACAGTACGTTATTGAGCACTACACTGATTTTTTTTTCAATCTCTCTTTGTAGGTATGATTGGGCTGCCAAAAAGACCTTGCAATCTGGTTACTTTTTGTGGTCAATGGTTGCTTATGGTTCTGGTAAGACGCCACTTCTTACATGCACTTCCCTGTGTTTTCCAACTCTCTAGGTACAGTTTGCCAGATACAGCTTAAACTAAATTGTCCTATAATGGGATACTTTTGATAGTAGAAACAAAATTACAATGGGACCTTTGGTTTATACTCCCCTGTTATTTTTTATATGATGTTGGTTAGTTCATTTTTTAACTAACCAGCGTCATATATTTAGGGATGGACGTAGTACCTTTTATTTTCTGCTGGTTGATGGAAATGACAAAATAAAAGGATTATCATACGTGAATGTGAAAGAAAAGGGATTCTCATACGTATACGTGAACAATTGAAACATCTAACAAAACCCGTGCGGCAACATGTTGGTGTTTTTTACCTGTAGTCTGACATACTGTATTCTTTTGCCCCTTCTTTAGGTCTTATGATCACGTATGTTGCCTTGAACCTTATGGATGGTCATGGTCAACCAGCTCTTCTTTACATTGTGCCTTTTACGCTTGGTAAGTAAAGCCTTCCTTGTGCCTGGTGAGAAGGTTCATAGCTTCAGGGGTTTAGTGCTCTCATTTTAACACGGCACCATGCTACTGCAGGCACCTTCATAGCGCTCGGCAGGAAACGGGGTGAACTCAGGAACCTCTGGACAAGAGGACAGCCTGAGAGAGTCTGCACGCACATGCACATGCAACCTTCACCGAAGGACACCAATTGTGATGCTGTAAGCTCGTAAGAAAGCTTATCAGCATGGCCTTGGAGTTGGAGAGGCTCACTGATACGTCTGATGTAAATTATATTTGCTCACGGTATTGTAACATAATATGTTCTCTGGAGGCAGAATCGCGACTCCACTGACTTGTAGTAACGTAGTACTACGTAGAAGTATTTGTAACTAGGGCACTAGGCTTCAATGCTGTTGTCCTAGTATGGAACTACGGATCCATGTTGTCATCACTAGCAGGCATCAATCTTTTGTATAGTAACCGGTTATATAGTTTTGTGGCCACATAAGAAATGAAGGAATTTTTAAGTGATTTTAGTTCCATGGTCCTAACAATCCATGAACATGTCCATCTGATCCATGGCGAATGGACTCTTTTTTTTATATACAGATTCTGTAATTCTCAAACTGTCATGTTTCTTCCTGACAATATAACTGTGTCGAATCCCAGATAGGAGTGTCACAGCTATGGAAAGGACCATGAAGGTATAAACCAGCTTCTCCAGTTTTTTTTCTTTTCCCTGGATCGATTCTACTCCATCGGTCCCTAAAAAAAAAAAAAGTCAAACCTTAGGTTTTCATATCCAATGTTTGACTGTCCGTCTTATTTGAAAAAAATATATAAAAAATTAAAAAGATAAGTCACTCATAAAATATTAATCATGTTTTATCATCTAACAACAATGAAAATACTAATTATAAAAAAAATTCATATAAGACGGACAGTGAAACGTTGGACATGAAAAACCAGGGTTTGTCTTTTTTTTTTTTTACGGAAAGAGTATGTCTGATCATGTGGACGCGTGGCAAGAGCCTAGTAGCTTTGTCGGTGCAGGAGATATGCACTACACGACACACAGGGGAGGGAATCATCATAGATGAACAGTTGTTGTTCAGCAAACGGCAAATACAGAAATACTGTGATGTCCTGACCATTTATTTTTCTACCAAGACAAAACCACTCCATATCACTACGTCACTTTGATGTATATATGCAAATGGAAGTAGCATCATTTTTCTAACCAAGGGCGTGCACCTTTATGAATTGATTTTTTGTATGCAGCTGCACAGGTGATGTGAGGCCGGAGACCGGAGTGGAGGGGAGGTGGTGGTGCGGCTAGTGGTGTGTGGCCAGCGATGAAGCAACGGCTGCCGTGCCCGTCTCTGTCCTGGTCCGACCGCCCAAGCTCCCCTTTTCTCTTGTGCAGTACAGTTTCGCCTTCTTGTTTCTCGTGTGTTTTTCCTTCCGTTTGCTGCTCTCGTAGAACGGTAGAAGTAGTAGCAGTAGACCTTGTTCGTGAGTGGTTGCGGCTTCTGTTGTGTTTGGTCGCCTTTGTTCGCTAGTGCATCTGGATTCCATGATCATGATCATGATGTCCATGCAGATTGATGTGGTGACTGACTGACTGAATGAATGAACAGCTGCAGCTATAGCTGAGGGTGTGTTTAGTTAACGCTAAAATTAGAAGTTTGGTTAAAATTGGAATGATACGACGGAAAAGTTGGAAGTTTGTGTATGTAGGAAAGTTTTGATGTAATAGAAAAGTTGAAAGTTTGAAGAAAAAATTTGGAAGTGAATAAACGAGTGAGCTCTCCTTTTCCTTTTGACCCACTCTGCTAGCTGCCCTTCTTCCCCTAGTGGCCATTTTCCCCCATACTAGCCGACTTTGCTACTACTTGATAGTCTTATCACTGAGAGGAATGGACGCACATTATTATATGCTAGATTGTTAAATCGAGAGGGGATTACTGTTGCAAGTGAGACAGTACCTAGCACATAATATGAAGGTATATATTCATTCTTCTTGGGTCGAGTTGTTAGCAATGCTGAATTATCAATGTTTGCCAACTGCTAGCAATTAGGAAGAATGGCTAGTTTGTGGCTATGATTGATCGATCATCAAGCTAAAGATAATGCTATGCAAGTCGAGACAGCTCGATGAGCTCACACAAAGGATAATCTTCCAAACTGACCACTCTGTCCGTGGTCTTGTTTGGATCCTCCGAGCTATTAAATAGTCCTCTGAAATTTTGCTATTTAGGATTATTAAACGTAGATTACCGACAAAACCGATTCCATAGCCCCTAGGCTATTTTGCGAGACGAATCTAATGATGTATATTAATCCATAATTAGCAGCTGATTACTGTAGTATTACTGTAGCAAATCATGGATTAATATACCTCGTTAGATTCGTCTCGCAAAATAGCCTAGTGGTTATGGAATGAGTTTTGTCAGTAATTTACGTTTAATACTCTTAAATAACGAAATTCCGGAGGGCTATTTAATAGCCCTCCGGATCCAAACAGGGCCCGTGTCACCTAAACAAAAATGGCTTTAATTTCCAGAACCTGCCCCGTAGCAAACGAACCCATACTACTAATCTATCATATCATCTTGTGAATTATTTATCTCTCGCTGACAATAACCGATGAACCATCAAATTCAAGCTTAGTAACAGTAGCGCTTCCTGTCATCCACAGATTAATCAAGGTAAAACAAAAACCCCTACCATCATCGTTGTCGTCCACTAATTACTAAATTGCCGACTGCTAAAACAAAATGAATAATTAATTAATTAATTAATTAGTAAAGAGGAAGAGAAAGAGAAGGCCATTGGTGCAGACGTAGTAGTGGAGCAGGAGCTATAAAAAGAAGCAGGAAGCCACTCGCTCTCCTCACAGCCACAGCTCGCCATCGTCGTCGTCGTCGTCGTCGTCTCCGGCTCCGGCAAGAGAGCTAGTAGTGAGTAGTAGAAAGAAGAAGAGGCAAATTAATAGTAATGGAGGGGAAGGAGGAGGATGTGAGGCTGGGGGCGAACAGGTACACGGAGAGGCAGCCGATCGGGACGGCGGCGCAGGGGGCGGAGGAGAAGGACTACCGGGAGCCGCCGGCGGCGCCGGTGTTCGAGGTGGAGGAGCTGACGTCGTGGTCGTTCTACCGGGCGGGGATCGCGGAGTTCGTGGCGACGTTCCTGTTCCTGTACATCAGCATCCTGACGGTGATGGGGGTGAACAAGTCGGCGTCCAAGTGCGCCACCGTGGGGATCCAGGGCATCGCGTGGTCGTTCGGCGGCATGATCTTCGCGCTCGTCTACTGCACCGCCGGCATCTCCGGCGGGCACATCAACCCGGCGGTGACGTTCGGGCTGTTCCTGGCGCGGAAGCTGTCGCTGACGCGGGCGGTGTTCTACATGGCGATGCAGTGCCTGGGCGCCATCTGCGGCGCCGGCGTGGTGAAGGGGTTCCAGCGGGGGTTGTACATGGGCTCCGGCGGCGGCGCCAACGCCGTGAACCCGGGGTACACCAAGGGGGACGGGCTCGGGGCGGAGATCGTGGGCACCTTCGTCCTCGTCTACACCGTCTTCTCCGCCACCGACGCCAAGCGCAACGCCAGGGACTCCCACGTCCCCATCCTGGCGCCGCTCCCCATCGGCTTCGCCGTCTTCCTCGTCCACCTCGCCACCATCCCCATCACCGGCACCGGCATCAACCCCGCCCGCAGCCTCGGCGCCGCCATCGTCTATAACCGCGCCCACGCATGGCACGACCACGTATGCAACCAACCATTATTTAATGCTTTCTCAACTACTTAGCTACTCCATCCATCCGATAAAAAACCAATCGGAACGTGACACATTCTATTATTATGTATCTGAATATATATATACTATCTAAATTCATCGTACAAAATTCGTTTTTTATGGGATTTGAGGGAGTAGTTGCTAATAATCACACGTTAATTTAGTTCATTGATTAGTGCTAATTGATGGATGGATTTGTGCAGTGGATTTTCTGGGTTGGTCCGTTCATCGGAGCGGCACTGGCGGCCATCTACCACGTGGTGGTGATCAGAGCAATCCCCTTCAAGAGCCGGGACTAATTAATTACCATGCACCATCATCTTAATTAAGCGATAATTACTCTGAAATAATCAACCGAGTTGATGCTGCAAGATGATGGAGGATCAAGTCTCTACAGTACTACGTGTGTTATTACCGTCTGGTGATCGATGAAGCTAGCCGCTGCATAATTATAAGCGCGTTTATATATATCTGATGTTGCTGTAATTATATCTATGTGTACGTAGTATGTTTGGTGTGAGAAATGGTACTTGTGTGTGCGGAGGCATGCATGTTCTTGGTTGCACGCCTTCAGCTATATATAGCTTTGCATCAATTCCATCTCCAAATGTGAATTTTACTAGTTACTATTTTTACCTCCTCTCATCCCCTCTTATGTTATGTGTGATCAAGTATTTGATCCCCTCTCGTTAAGTAAATGTTAAGCATGCGTATTTGTAAACTTGTTAGTGCTATACTGATATGCTATCGGCCCTATCGGCGCCATTATTGCCGGGTCTTCAAATGCCACGGTGTATGAGAAGACTTACGAATTGTGCAAAAAAAAAAAAAAATCTTGCTGACAGCCATAATCATACATACATACTAGCTATGAGCCTATGAATTATAGCGGACCATGCATCATATTTTACTTGAACAAGTAAAAACTAAAAGCATAAGAAAAAAGTAAACAATTCTTTAAATTCCTCAGTTCAATGTATGAAAATTACTTGTGGTTAGAGCTATTAATTATAGCGGACCATGCACCACATTTTACCTGAGCAAGTATGAACAGAAGCAAATCTAAACAAGCAGTAATGAACTGTACACTGACAGACAAGTTAACATACATCCTCAGCTAGGTTACAAGCAGCTTTCTGCTATTAGAATTTACAACATTCACATGACTTAAAGGTGTGTTTAGTTCACGCAAAAATTGGAAGTTTGATTGAAATTGAAACGATGTGACGGAAAAGTTGGAAAATTGTGTGTAGAAAAATTTTGATGTGATGGAAAAGTTGGAAGTTTTAAAAAAAAAAGTTGGGAACTAAACCAAGCCTTAGAAAAAAGTATCTTTCCTGACAGTAACATACCAATATACAGCTATGAATTATCACAGTTTACCTGAACGAGTAAATACGCTTTACTTGGAAGTCCAGTTTTAGACCTAAAACCAGCGTATAATAATATAGGCATGTAAGTAATTTTAATAGCTCCATAAAATATGTTTAGATCGATGGGCTGTTTTCCGGATTAAAATTCAGCCCTGTAAGTCCATTAAACAAAAAAAAAAGTCCTTCACAGCCCACGATAAAAATCCGACAAAATTAAGTCGAGCTCGTCCCCGCAGCTGCACCAGTGTTTAATTTTTCGGTTTAGCCGATTGTATTAGAGGTCATCGATATACCGAAATTTCCAAAAGTTTAAACAAATGTTAGTAAAATTTAAACAAAATATTACTAAATTCACAAAAAATTAAAAAAATAAAATTTCAACCAAAATAATATTATATCGGGGGATCCGAAATGACCGAAATTTCTAACCCTGAGCTGCACTCCCTTGCCAATTCCGCCTCACCACATATATACCTTCACCCTGCTCTTGAGTCTTAATGAGACAAGTGTGGACTGTGGAGAGTGGAGTGTTATGCCACTTCCGTTGAAATGGATATCATCACTTAACTTCCAAGTCCGGTAACTTTATCATCGCTCCACACACTAGATCTCTCCCTTTTTTTCTTTCTTCCCTCCAACAGCTGCGGATCTATAAGGTCCGACAACCTGGATCCAGCGTCTGCAAGTCTCTACCAGGTCAACCCCTACCTTTCGAGTCCCCACGTTGCTGGCCTCAATGACGACTATAACTACAATGTGCGCGGCGACGGGGTAGAAGAGGAGACAAGTCAGTGGCTAGTAGGTGCGGCTGCGCATGCGGAGATAGAGAGGAGGAACGGCGATGGCTCGTGGAGAAGGAGCGGTGCCGGTGGTGCGTGGAGGAGAGGAAAGGTAGACAATGGGTGCTGTCAGTGGAACAAGTTTGTTTTCGCCACCCATCCCAATTGAGTTATTTGCCTTTTTTCTTCAAGCACTATTTACATATGGGATACTAGTCATTGCAAATAATGGATGGCTGGTTTTAATTGAAAAGTTTGAGACAACAAGGTTATTTAAAGTGACAATTGGTTGATTAAAGCTGGATTAATTTACTTTAATTGCGTTCGGTAGCTGAGAGAAGATTTCTCTCGTTTGTCGCGCGTATACTTTTCGAACTATTAAACAATGTGTTCTTTTACAAAATCTTTTTATAGGAAAGTTGCTTTTAAAAATTATATTAATTTAACTTTTAAATTTAAAATAGTTAATACTCAATTAATCATGTATTGATGATTCAGCTCGTTTTACTTATTGACCCATCTTCTCTTTCCCTTCTCTCATAAACTTACGGAATCATTGCGTCGAGTATCTTTGCCCCTTCCCACCAGCGCCAAGAAAAACTCCAGTCTCGTCTCCGCTCCTTGCACCTGCGGCCAGCGCTGATCTCCATCCATCTCGCGAGCATAGCGGAGCCGGAGCGGAGCAGGGGAGGGGCGCCTTCGTCCTACTGCATCCTGGTGAGCATCCACATTCTCTTCCCTTTTCTTCTTCTTTTTTTTTTTAACGAACCTCCACATTTCTCTTTCTCATCCATCTGTGTCTTCCTCCCACTTAATTTTGTCTCGATTTTGCTTGCTTCTCTTCTAGATCTGGAACGAGCCTTTTCTCTTAATTTCAGAGCCTTAGCCTCTCTTAATACAAGTAAAGGTTTGGGGTTCAATTGAACCCCCATTTCCCAAGTTGGATCCGCCCCTGAATTCTTCGGGTTTTCGCCTGCTCTCGGTTGCAGGGTTTTGTGCTAGCTTGATTCGGATTCCTGGTGCTCGATTGGGATGGATTCGATTTTGATCGGGTTGTCTGTTTCCATCATTGGTCCTGCAATTTCAATTCGAAGTTACATCTTTCTATAAATCTGCTAGTGTTAAACCCGTGATTAAATATCCCTTCTTGTGCTGATTTTTAAATAATTCGAGCTCGGATTGCGCTTACAAAAACAGTCTTGTGCATTTTGAATTCGCTTCTTCTTTCTCAAATTCAAAATTACAGTACAATTTGCAGCAAGAGTGCACATATCCTTAATTGCATGTACTAGGATCCTGTGTCTATAGCAAAATACACTGTTACAGCTGCGATCCTCAGTCAACAGAAGTTCATATCCAGACTTTGATTGCATTTTGGAATTCTGGCTTTGCATGCAATTTTTCTTCTCATATAGCATTCCCAATTCATCCTCCATTTAATTAAGATCTTGAAGCTAGACGATCTGTAAACTGACTGATTAGATCGGGTTTCTGCGTTGTACCGTGAAATTTATACTGTGTTTTACAGTAAATTCGAATCTATACTTAAAATTATTGCATTAGAATTGGGCACATCAGGGTATCAGTTGGGAGAAAATGCATCACAAGACTGTACTGTAGCAAAATTATTCTAACCGACCTGTTCATTACTGTAGTCTGCAATCTCCGTAACTCCCACTTTAAATGCGAATTTACTGAAAGTATGAACACAGGAGAGTTACCTGCCCCAACTATAAATTCTTGGTTTACTCCACATAATTTTACATCTAGTACACAGAATTAATGCAAATCACCTAGCCACCTGCTAAATTTCATAACCAAAATTGATCTACACAATTTCATTTCTGATTTACTACCTGGCCACCTGCACTGCTTTTGTACATATTCCTTAGACGCACCACTTTGACGAGTGTTACTCCAGCAAGTAACGAGCAATTCTTGTAGCCAGCTAGCTGGTAGTGGGTCCTGGTAAGTGTCTCTGCCGATTCATCACCATAATGGTTAGTGGTTGGGAGTCACTAATGCTCTTCAATCTGTTTGCAATCGCATCAGATGAGAGATTTAGTCCGATCCGGATCGAGTTGCATGGAGGTGTCACATCATCTTGATCGCTTTCAGGCTTCATCGCCCCCCCCCCCCCCCCCAATGGAAATTAATCTATGCAAAATATGAATTTCCTGTGTAACTTAGGACTCAAGACTCGATTTTGAATTTCAAATTCCCTTTATGCGTGGTCAAATTTTAATTTTTAATGTTGAGCTAGTTTCAGAAATTCTGCTATGCCTAATAATAGTTGGTATTTTTCTTTTATTTAGGACTAGCACTGTTTTAGCAAAGTTCACCAATCCTGCAGATCTCACATGCAGCTTTCTTGGTTCTTGCACCATGCAATAAATCTTGAACATCATGCTAATTTTGGAAATTATTCTGGCACTGGGTTGATAGAGCTATTTATTGTTTGCTGTTGAGAGTCAATCATAGAACACTTCACAGTATTGAGTTTGTTTGTGTACTGATTGAATTTGATGCAAAACCTTGAACCAGGGAGAGATCAGGGCAGAGAATCAGCATGATGATGGAGACTGAACTATGCTCTTCCCGGGTTCTGTCTCTGCCTCGGTACGATAGTGGAGATGAGGAGCTCTCAGTGCTTCCTCGGCACACAAAGGTCATCGTCACTGGGAACAACCGAACAAAATCTGTCTTGGTCGGTCTACAAGGTGTTGTCAAGAAGGCTGTTGGTCTAGGAGGTTGGCACTGGCTGGTGAGTCTCCCACTGAATTTTTTAGTATCCCACTTAAACTTTACTTTATTGTGTTTTTTTTTATCTTGAAATGTTTGTTTCACAAGTGAACGATATAGTACTGATTTTTTTGTTTTAGAAAGTAGCTAGGCAAGTAATTCTCTACATGTTTATAAAATATCATCTGTGTTAATAATACCGTCATAATCTATAACCACCATTGTTTGAGATTATATGTTTTCTTTAAGTGTTTATGAGCTTAGGAGTTGAACTATTAAATGCAAATATAATGGAAAACAATACCAAGACCTGAGATATTCATGAAAATGCAGGTTCTAAAGAATGGTGTAGAGGTGAAGCTGCAGAGGAATGCTTTGAGTGTCTTGGAACCTCCAACTGGTAACGAAGACGACGATGATATTGACGGCAACAATTCATTCTGTAGCAGTTCCGACATGGGAGACAAAGACATGGACTATTGTAAGACCATCCTGTGATAATTGCAATATAGCCAATTGCTTTAAACTAACAATTAACAGTGTAATCAACTAACAATTTTCTTCTGCTTTTGCAAGTAGCGATCATAGAATACCATAAACCAACAAAGCCAAGAGTTCGGCATACAAGGCCCTGGTCATCCTGTACAAAATCCAGCAACCGAGGCAATTTTCACCCCAGTTCAATATTGCAAACGGTAATTACTAATCGAGATATCAGGCCGTGTACAATCCAAAATTAAAGCCAGTGTGACCCTTGGATCACATGGCTTGGTCCATGGTTATGTAGGATCTATTGTTGTCATAGGCCCTTCTGCTGTTTTAGCCAATGCATCTTGCTTATTATGAACAGGGCGAAATAACTTTCATTGATCATTCGTTCAGTTTGCTGGGAAAGCTGCTAGGATTTTGATCTGTCTTTTGCACATCTCATACCATTTCCTTTTTCTGAGCAAAGTATGTTTCTTACCTTTTGTTTGCAGAGAGTAAACCTGACAAGACTCGGAACTCCTACCCTGTGGAGATACTGGAAGCACTTCAATCTTGTAAGCAGCCTGGATCCAACAAACCTTACATTTCATTTCCATGGTCTAATGCTGAAAAACTATGCACAGGTAAGCATGAACCCCGATCCATCAAAGGAACAGCTCTTCCATGGGGTCCAGCAGCATTTTCAGTCTCAGGTAGCAGCTGAAAACCTATTACACACCACCTATACCTTTTAGATAGGCAGTTTGTATTGTAGTATAACCTGTGATCAGTTTGTAGTCTTAACCTCTGGCTCTAATCTCCTCCAAATGCTAAATAAAAAGCAGCAGCAATTGGATGAGTTGCAGGTGATTCTGGGCTTCATCCAGGCAGCAAAGAGGCTCAAGACCCTGTACCACTCCTAGCCTGTAACATCTCGGTGTGTAGATCTCAACAAATTAGATTAGATGTCTCTATGTATGTGGTTAAATTAATCTTAGCCTTGAGAGAGCTGAACAGAAAGGAGATAGTATAAGAGGTGCATTCGATCAGTAAGTAATTCTTTTTTACTTTTACCTGTAAAGAGTTTATGTAACCCCAGTCACAGTGTCAGCAACTACTGACCTATCACCATCATCTAAATACTACTCCCTCCGTCCTGTAATATAAGGATTTCGATATTTTACTTGCATTGTTTGATCATTCATCTTATTAAAAAAATTAGAATTATTATTATTATTGACTTACTTTATTATCCAAAGTATTTTAAGCACAACTTTTCGTTTTTTATATTTGCACAATTTTTTTAATAAGACGAGTAATCAAACAGTACAGGTAAAATATCAAAATCTATTATATTATGGGACAAAGGGAGTAATAGTACTACTCTCTCCGTCCCAAAATATAGATATTTTTAGTTATGAATCTGGACAACTATGTGTTTGGATTCATAACTCAAAAATAACTATATTTTAGTACGAAGGTAGTAATACAGTGTGAAGCTATGATGAATTTGGATGTCAACTCATCCAATGCATGTTTTCCCCCTAATCCTCAACTCATCCCGTCTCTAAGATCTCTGGTTGGTGGTGGTAAGAGCAATGCATCCTTTGTTCTTTTCTTTCCTTTTTTTTTTCTTTTGCATGAAAAGGAGGCACGAGGATGCAGGCGTATGACCCACCCGTGGTCTATGGTTCTCACTGGCAGGGGAATACTGCAGGATAGATGGTGGGACCGGACGCACGGGACCACGTGACTAGGGGTGAAATCGGGTCGGGTTGGATCGGATCCCATCCTTTCCATATTCTAACCCATATTTCCTTTTAAATTCGGAGTTGGATTTTGATAGTGCCGGGTAACATATCACTCATCCCGTATCATGTCCCATATTATTTACTTCGAATCGGATTCAAGAACGGATATTTATTTGTATCTCTAATTCATAGATATTAAATATAATAAGATAATTAAAGTACTACTCCCTCCGTTTCATATTATAAGACTTTATAGCATTATCCACATTCATATAGAATTATATAAATGTGGATAATGCTAGAAAGTCTTATAATATGAAACGGAGGAAGTAAAAGATATACATCAAGAAAAAAATATACAATATTATACGTGAGCATGTAAATAAGTGATTAACCAATATTTTATCATGTTTTTATGTGGATTTATAATAAATTTTCATATGTATTTTTTAATACGGGACATACGGACGGATACGTATCTTCTCGTATCCTAACCCATATTTTTCCAACGAATTCGGATTTGAAGTCAGATAGTATCGAGTATCCTATTTTTTCTCCTATATTTCTTCCGCAAGTCTCGGATCGGACGGACGGTCGGGAAATATCCGCCCCATTTTCATTGGATAGGATAAGGCACGGGTTTGCTAGGGTGGCTCATGATAGACCGGGAGCATGTGTGGTGGCATTGCCTCGGGCAATGTGCAGCGTAGGGGACGGATGGAATGGATTAGAAAAAAGACGATGATGTGGCTACTACTGCCCCGGTGCAACCCCCCAACCCTTCCATTCTTCCCTGCCTTGTCCTCTTTGTACCCACTTGTTAAAATCATTTTGAGATCGAGTTTTTTTCCCTTTTTTTTTTCAATTGGTAGCAAATTAAAACAACCTTTGGAAGAATTCAGCGGGCAAATTAATTTATGTGAAATTCTGCAGTTCAAATAAGCTGTTGTTCATGAATGCATTTCTTGAGGGTCAAACAAAAGTATACTGGTCGTCCTTAGGTAATTTCATACAAATTGTTGAAAATAAATAGTGGAGTACTACTTCTTTTTGTTCTTTACAATGGGTTCTTGGGAGATAATTATGAGGGAATAGTCAACAACAAATCATGTGAATCATGCCATTCACATATTTTGCATTGAGAAAATCAGGACCGAAAGTTTATTACAGCTGGAGAGAGGACTCACAGATTTTAGTATAGTAATAGTACTAAAATCAGGACCGAAAGTTTATTATATAAGATGCTTGCCTCAAATGATGTGATAAGTAACAAGTAGAGAAAAACACTTGCTTGATCAGGTAATTAGCAGTATATATATATAAATAACTAGTATGAGGGAGATGGTGAGGGGGGTAAAAAAAAAGCTGGTACTTACATTGTGATTACGGTTACGACGAACCTTGTTATTCTTCATCTTGAGAGGATATGGAACTCGATTAATTAGTGAGAATTGAAAGGAAGCGGCCTCCGATGGATCGCGCGAGCTCTGCAAGGGCAACAAGCCAACGAATGATGAGAAGAGAAAAATCTTGAGGAGGAGGAGAGAATGAGATGAGGACCTCACACCGACGCGGGCTCAAATGGGCCGAGTTAGATCGGCTATGTTAGGTGCTAGCCCGGTGCATTTTATAGGCCCGTTAAGGAGTACAAGGCCCTATTGTCTAGGTCTGTGGGCTTTCTCTGTTATGGGCTTAATGTATTTTGGGCCCTGTAGGCTTCTTGTACGTTTTTCTAGTTTTACAGATATATGATCATAGCGGTCAGTTTACTTGAAAATTGCATAAACATGTTAACTGCAAATTCATTCCAAGTATCACAAAAGAAAAGGAAATGGCAAGCTATATTTGAGAAACGAAAAATTAGGGCCATATGACCGCAAATGTGTTCACAAGCTTTAAAGTTTTTTAGGTATAAACATAAATAAATGCGAATACTCAATAATATTAATAGCTATACATCGGAGAGAAAAATGAAAGGACCATACTCGTGCAGTGTCACTGTGAGCTATAATTTTTCTTTTCCGGGGTTTTCTTTGATTGGATGCAACATCACTTTTAACAACTACTCCTCTGCATAATGGGTTTACTGGCGTTATCACTTCGCTATTAAACAAAACTGCGACTTTGCTCATCCATTGACCTAGCTAGCTAGCTAGCACTTCCTTTTCATTCCTCTTCTCTTCTCTTTTCTTCTCTTTATTATCTATTTATTTATTTATTATTGTTGTTGTTATTATTTGGCATCTGGCTATCGCTCGACGGGTCTGGCATAATTTGCTACTACTAGCTACCGATATTTCTTAGCTGGCAAACTTACTGTTGTTGTACTTCAACATACGCGAGGAGAGAAGGATTACTTCATTTATTTCGAGCTGTAGTAATAATTTAGTTTATACCGAACTGGTAATTATATCTGTAACCGATTAGATGGACAGATAAAAACTAGTAAAACCCTTGTTTTTTTGTCATGATCCTACCAATTGCCAAGTACAGTGTAGCTAGCAGTGCTTCCCATAGACAACTAAACAAAAAGTCTATTGCATCATTTCACTTTATTGAAAAGGTTGGGGGACAAGGAAGGATTAGGGTCTAAGAACTCAGCTCCTTTGTTAATTATTATTACTTTTTTCTCCCCGAGACAATAGATGCAAGATTAGCCTTCCCCGCAAAAAAAAAAAGATGCAAGATTAGCCTTGTTTTTTCATCACAGTGCTCATGATTTGGAAATAAGTGCTTTTTGAGGCATTACATTGTTTGATCTTCCAAAGGACCAGCTAGTTTTACATTATGCATCTTGTAGACAATCTTGGACATAAAGCAATGTTATCAGAGATCAGGATCCATCTTGCAGACAATCTTGGGCATAAAGCAATGTCATCGATGACATTGCTTTATGCCCAAGATTGTCTGCAAGATGCATAATGTAAAACTAGCTGGTCCTCTGGAAGATCAAACAATGTAATGCCTCAAAAAGCACTTCTTTTTACAAATATAGGTTGGCATGGTTCTAACAAACCCTTAATAAGAATATGATCTTGAATAGATGTGATCAAAAATTTTTGAACATTTCAACTGCAACATTCTCAGTTCAGAGGAATGTTTGATATTGCAAATGGAAGGTGCAGTTGAAACTACATTTTTTTAATTTTTTTTTGCCAGCTTACTCCTATGTGATTACTTTTTCCTAGCTTGTTTCTCGAGAGGATGTCGTAGAATAATAATAACACGGCGATTCCAAGATCTTGAATACATTTTTACGTATGCCTTAAGATTAGGACTCGATCTCTGAACTTCTTTTATTTAAAAAAGTGCATGATTTGAATAAGGAATTGTCGGTGCGTTCAGGTTCAGGATCCATATATTTCGCTCCATTGTTTAGTAAAAAAAAATTAAAGGGAGATTTCAATTAGGAACAACTTTGTATGGAGCAGTGCAGTATGCACTATGCAATTGGAGGAAGCACATCGTCATCACTGTTGCATAATATAGTTTGATATATACTCTCTCAATAATTAGGACGAAAACTGCTGTTCAAGTTTGACAGATATCATAAATGACACCGCTTTTCTGATAACAACAGTGCATCACATTTTATTTTATTTTTTTCGCAAAGAGTGCAAATCTCTGATGATCTGGTAAATGAATTATAGCTTCTGAATCATATATGGCTCCACTGTTATCACATTTTTTTTACAAATTGTAATCTGCAATTTGAGAAAACTTAGTCCTGTTCATCTGCTGCTCATGTGTGCATAAATAGGATTATCTTTCTGGCCATGAAAAATACTCACGAACAGAAGGAACAGAATAAATGACATCGATATGAGCTGAATTATTGTACCAGTATATACCTGCTAAAATCCGACACATTATGTGTAATATATTTTTATTATTTTTTAGGAATCCTTTCCATTATGTTGAAAAGAACATGGATTAAATGCTAGAGAGTACGTAGCACATGCTTCCTCGATTAAAAATGAAGAAATAAAAGATTTTGCAGCTGAAGAAAAACTTTTTAAGAAGTCTGAAATCAGTATAGAAAAAAATAAATGCAAGAGGCTGCACCAAGAGCTGAAAATGGCCATTTCAACTCATCCATAAAGTCTTTTGAGTAGGAGTGAAAGAACAGCCTTTATCTTCCTCTTGTAGACAACCTTCGATCTTAGAACTTAACCATTTTGGTATTTAGAATAACCACTCACTCTCTCTCTCTCTTAGGGGGCGGATCAGGAAAAAAAATTGGGGGACTCAATATACCGAGTACACCGACATAAACACATAATCTCGGTGTTAAACTATGCTAAAATGCTATTAGGAGATCTTTAGTACATTCTATCTTATCAACCATGACGAAAAAATGAAAGGGGGGACTCAGGGGGTATCCATAGGTTCGGTGGGTGAGAGAAAACTCTAAGTCCTCCTTGTACCCATGTTGGAT